CCAGGTTGTGGTCTATCTTGATGAATGGTCCGTGTATAACCTGAAAAGACTATATTTTGCTGCTGCTGGGGTGAATACTCTATAAATTTCAAATAGATCCCATTGATGGTGTTTTACAGTTCTATATTTTAGCTAATTTTCTACTAGTTCTATTGATGACTGAGAAAAATGAGTGTTTAAGTCCCCAACTACAAATATGGGTTTGTCTATTTCTCCTTTCAATTTTGTCAGTATTTTGCTGTATGTATTTTGAAGATCTGCTGTTTGGTATCTACATTTAAGATTGTGAGGTCTTGGGAGGCCTGGGTGGCTCAGTGGTTGAGTGTCTGCCTTCAGCTCAAGGTGTGATCCTGGAGTAATGGGTTGGAGTCCCACATCGGGCTCCCTGCATGGAGCCTGTTTCTCCCTCTGCCTGTCTCTGCCTCTCTCTCTCTGTGTCTCTCATGAATAAATAAATAAATAAAATCTTAAAAAAAAAAAGACTGTGAGGTCTTCTTGGTGAATCAACTCTTTTATCTTTCCATCCTTTGTTTATTCCTGGTAATTTTCATTACTCTAAAGTGTACTTTGATATTACTATAGTCATTCTAGCTTCATTTGATTATTGTTTGCACAGGTATTTCTTTCCTGTCATTTTATTTTAACATTATATTTACATTTATTTTTTTATTTTTATTTTTTTAATTTTTATTTATTTATGATAGTCACACACAGAGAGAGAGAGAGAGAGGCAGAGACACAGGCAGAGGGAGAAGCAGGCTCCATGCACCGGGAGCCCGACGTGGGATTCGATCCCGGGTCTCCAGGATCACGCCCTGGGCCAAAGGCAGGTGCTAAACCACTGCGCCACCCAGGGATCCCTATATTTACATTTATTTATTTATTTTATTATTTTATTTTTTATATTTACATTTAAATGAGTTTCTTGTAGACGGCATACAATTGGGATATTAAAAAACCTATTCTGGGGCACCTGAGTGGCTCAGTGGGTTAAGTGTTTGCCTTTAGCTCAGGTCATGATCCCAAGGTCCTGGGGTCCCTGCTGAGCAGGGAGCCTATTTCTCTTCTTCCTCTGCCTGTTGCTCGGCCTACTTGTGCTCTCTTTCTCTGTCAAATATATAAGATGTTTAAAAAAATAACAAAAATAAAAAATCTGACAATCTCTGTTTCTTAATTGGTATATTTAGAACATTTACATTTAGTATAATTATTGATATGTTTGGATTTGGGTCTCTCATTTTATTGTTTTCTGCTTATTTTTCTGTTTTTAATTCCTCTGTTTCCCATGTCCTCTCTTCTTCTGGGTTACTTGAACATTTTTTTAGCATTCCATTTTAATTTTCATATTGTAATTTTACAAAACACACATATACATATAATTGTTGCTCTAGGGATCACAATATGTGTATTTAACTTTTCAAAGTCTACTTGGAATCACATTATGGGGAATGTAGACATCTTACTGCCATGTTACCAAAACTAACACAGTTTTGAAGATACTAGCAGTAAGAGGGTAAAAATGAGAGGTAAAAAAGGTAAAGAGGAGAATAAATATTATCACTATATGCAGGTGACACAATTGTTTGCCTAGAAAATACAAGAGAACCAACTAGAAAATTATTACAACTGTTAGGAGAATTCAGTTAGATTGGGAGCAAAATCAAAATACAGAAATGGACCGTCTTCATGTGTAAAATAACATCCATTTGCAAGATACAATGAAAGAAAACACTAACATATCAAGAGGGTATCATCAAGTGCACAAGGTCTATATAAAAAAGTCCTTAAAAACTGATTGACGCATGTTCACATTAAAGAAATAGAAAGGTATTTCATATCAGTTTCTTGGATCACTATGAAAGCAACCACAAGTTCACGGTTAATGAAATGCTTTGCTAAGGAGCCAAAAAGATGAGCAACCATTTGTGGGATTAATATCCAACATGTTAAGGATATCAAATCTCTAAATTGATATAGAAATTTAATTCATTGCACTAAAAATAGTAAACAAGATTTTTCTTTCAAAAATTGAAAAGTTGATTCTAAAGTTCATATGATAAAACTGGTAGGTATAATTATAAAATAAAAAAGAGCAAGAGCACTGACAGGTAAGGCTCCCTTTAAGACAGTATGGCATATTTTAAAACTACAATAATTAAAATAGTGTGGTTCTAGATGATGAATCAAACAGTTCACCGGAGCAGCCTTAAGTCCAGTTCTTAACTTTTTTTTTATTTATGATAGTCACAGAGAGAGAGAGAGAGAGAGAGAGAGAGAGAGAGGCAGAGACACAGGCAGAGGGAGAAGCAGGCTCCATGCACCGGGAGCCCAACGTGGGATTCGATCCCGGGTCTCCAGGATCGCGCCCTGGGCCAAAGACAGGCGCCAAACCGCTGCGTCACCCAGGGATCCCCCTTAAGTCCAGTTCTATGTGTGATGCAGGTAGAATACAGAAGCCATAAAAAGGTTGATAATTCCACCTGTATTAAACAAAAGTCCTACAAGCTCACCTGAGCTTCAGTGTCTGTGGAGTTTTGTTTTTTTTTTTTTTTTTGGTTTCATTACATAGGCATGACCAACTGAATCACTGGCCACAAGGCCACAAGGCTGAACTTAATCTCCAATCCCTCTTCCCTCCCCAGAGGTCAGGCCAGTATCACTTTGGCTCAAAGACCCAACTCTCTAATCACATGGTTGGTCTTTCTGGTGTGGCTAGCCTTCATCCTGAGTCATCTCATTAGCATAAACTATCAGGTTCCACCATGAATAACAAAGACACTTGGTGCACTCAAGAAACTTCAAGGATCTACATCCTGGGAAGCTGGAGGGGGGGGGGGAGGGTGTACCCCACTGTGGTGCTGAGAAGAGAGAAGAGAGCCAGGCAAATTTTTTATTCCAAGTGTTTAAGAAGCTACTATACTAGCTAAGGAGTGGAAACCAACACTGTCCAGTGACAGAAACTAATAAAAAAAAATTAAAATACCACCTATATAATGGGGCTCTATGCAACCAATGAAAAAAAAATGGGAAAATTCTGTAGATAGGGATATGGAATAAATTGCTGAATGTACAAAACATTGTGTATGGTACACTATAATTGGTGTTTCATACATATGTGTGTTTATACATACATGAAGCCATCCAGAAGAATAAACAAGAAACTGATTAGCAGAGGTTGGATCCAGGGAAGGGAAATGAACGGCTTAAAGAACTTTTTACCCTTTTCAACCTTCTGATTTTTGCACAACATGCATATATAACCTGTTTAATGAGAAAACATCACCAAGTACTTGCACATTTCTCTAAGGATACTGAACATAATGTATCTTAATCTTTGATTATGAAGAGCCATTGTCAAAAGTTATATTGAACAATAAAGCTCTAAGAGTGTACTCAGGCACACAGGGCTGTTTTCATCCACATTAAATGATTTCAGGCTCCTGTGATATGAGTATCATTTTTACTTTTTCTGACTTCTCGCAGCCACTTATCACTACTGTTGACCTTCTTCCTCTAGTTGACTTAAACTTCTTTTACTTCTTAGCTATAGCAGCTAAGAAATAAGGCACATGGTCCCAATACTATTTATAGAGGGAAACTGCCTCTTTAACAACTTGAGGAAGTCTCCCCTAATTGGTGAGTTTTAGAGATTAGACTTCATACCAACTACTTGACTACTCAAGATTTTTACACATTCTTGGTTCCATGTAATTGAATAAAGAACAGGCAAGGCATTATTTTGTCATTACGGGAGGTCCTATGATTTAATTAATGCTATATTGCTAAGTATGTGTCTGAAACTTTTTCAAAATAGCTTTCATTCATTCAAAAATATTTCAAATATTTCAAATAATTCAAAAAATATTTTTGAGTAGTGTGCACCAGGGAATGCTCAAGGTGCTAGTGATACAGCAATGAACGATATAGACAATGTCCAAACTCCCTTAGAATTTACATTCTAACTGGGGAGACAACAGGCAGAGATAAAGTGGGTTAAGTATTCTAACAAGAAAAGGGGAAACATGATGGAGCATTTAGGACAGGGTAGCAGCATTAGGGTACCTATCAGCATCTGGTCAGAGAAGAACTATTAGGATATCACTAACACACACACACATGCCATTTTTAACATATAAAATAAAGGATTTGTAATAGGGATCATAGGAAGCTGTTCTTTTGCGTCAGGCAGGTGGGAAAGGAAGATGGGTATGAAGTGGGGGAAGCGAAAACAGTATACTAGAACCTGCTAGGATGAGTAAAACCCATGGGTATTCGTGCCAGTCTCTCACTGTTTCCAATCCTCCAACTTCAATGATGGGGCTGTGCTGCAGAACCTGGCACCCTCTGTCACAGAGTGAAACACACACCTGGCTAGAGTCAGGAGAAAATAAAGGAGGTGATCCAGCAGGAGCTGCTGTTCCTATGTGCCTGGTTGTTGGCCCACAGACCAAAAAGATAAGCCAGCAGATAAGCAATAATGTGAGTGAGCTGCAACAATGTGTGTCCTGCTTGGACCTTTCAATTATAAAAAGAAATCTGGATCTGGCTACTTAACTTATACCTTCTGAATCTTGCACCACAAACCTCTTGTACCCACACTATCCTAAAATTATGTAGGGAGAATTAAGAGGAACGTATCCTCAGCTTAGCCACATTGGCACCATATAAAGCCACTACAGATGGCCAGAGGTCTCTGAAAGATATTTGATCTGAGAACCTGGAGGGTAAGGAAGATTCAGCCACATAGCCATGCCAAGATTTGGAAGAGTATTCCAGGCAGAAGAAATAGCTACTGCAAAGCCCTGAGGCAGTGATATAAATGAGATATTTTTTAATGATGAGGCTGGAGTATGGTGAGAGGGAGAGTGGTATGAAATGAGATCATAGATAGAGGCAGGGACCGGATCACGTGGGGCCTTCTAGAACATGGTAATGAGCATGGATCACTTTTTTCTAAGTGCAGTGGGAAGCAAATGGAGTTTTTAACAAGCCAGTAGTAGTTTGATCTGATTTCTATTTTTAAACTTTATTTTAAAATAATTTCAAACTTAAAAAGAGGCATATGATTAGCACAAAGAATTCCAACATCCAACTGATTTCCCTTCACTTTGCAGAGAAAGGGCTTTGGTGGGCAGGGCCATTCCTTCCTAGGACTCTTCTAGGTCTCCTGGTATCCTATATAAACGACACTCCTCGAGGACAATGTCCATGATGCCCTGGGAATGTGCTGCCCAGGTAGTGGAAGCTGAAATATTTCTTGGAGAACTACTTCAAGGAGTTCAGGACAGTGTGCTTTCATGGTAGTTTTCAGATTTCACAGGAAAACCAGTCTTGTTATTTGTCTCAATTCTTGACTTTATGTTGGTACAAAAAACAGTATTACTTCTTCAGATTTAGTCTCAACTTGATTGGTCACCGCATTACTTCACAAAAACAGAAAACCTCACAGATTTGACACCACTGAAGCTATTTAAAGAGAATGTTACACAGATAATTCCAGATTTCCTAAGAACTTCCAGAGAATAGGCACAGTCTCCTAAGGGAAACATATACTGAAGGGCCACCATTCATAATGGTGTGTGAAGTCTCTACATTACTGTTGGCCTTAGACTTACTTATCCTGTAGTTTCAATAGACTTGGCTTGCAAGTTGAGACCACAGAAAACCTTCCTAAAACAAGCTCTTCTGCCTGGATTCTCTTCCTCTAGCTGAAAGCCAAGGTTCAAATATTGAAATGTGCTGAGGTGCACACTTGCTTATCTATGCAAGTTCATTTCTGACTTCAGTACAAATCCAGGTTTAACAGTACAATCAACAGCTAAAATTAGCTACCAATAGCCAGGCATTTTCACTAAAAACATACACACCTAATAGGTGCTCATTAAATTATGAGGGTAAAAAGCAGAAAAACTAAAGAGAAGTCTGATGCCTTTAGAGAAATCATTTATTCTCTCTTATGCTCAGTTGAAGGGGAGCTCTGCTAGCGCAGAAGGGCTCAGTGACAACAGTGAGTGCCTGGCACACAGCAGACATTCAGTTAAGGAGGAGCTAATATTATTACATGTGTCATAAAAGTAAGTATCTTCTATAGCTTCTTAGAGAAGAAACAAAATGCTTCTGAAAAAAAAAAGAAAAAGAAAGAAGCCTGGACACAACCATTTGTCTTCTTTAAGAAAAAAAGTTGTAAAAATTAATTGTAAAAAAGCATGATCTGAAAGAAAAGTAGAAAAGTTTCGATCTTTAATGAGAGTTTACAGTATATACTTATCCTTCCATGCTCTGTGCTGACAGAGCTCTGTGTAAACATTCACCGAGAGAAGAGTGGGTGCTGTGCCGCGACTTACAGACTAAATTTTCAGCTCTGATTACTAAATTCATGAACAATGTTTTATATGCTATATGTTAATTATTAACTATTTTCCTTCATTTAACAATGGCTCTTGAATAACAAAATAAATTATCAACAAATTCAATCATAAAATAAAAAATAATTAAAGTAAAAAAAAAAAGACCTGTCAGAGTTTCATATATACAAGTACAGTAACACATTTCATATATCTGGATTGCAGTTTCTATGTTCTTTGTGTAGGTAACAGAAAAATTATTTCCTCTCTACTGGTACAAGTTCACAAAGCTTATGAAAGGCTTCCCCTTTTTTGATCCTGCTTAATTAACTGCACCTCAGTTGAACAGGACAGACAGCACCAGGGTTATGAATGAGACGTGGTAAAAGAAAAGGTCATGACCACACAGCAGATCACGTAGAGCTAAAATACATCTCCAACTTCCTAGTGGTAACCTGTACCCCTCATTTATTAAATAATTTACAGAGAACTGTTAGAAAGATGATCTAATGAGCCAGGTGACCTCTGTCACTTGTCAGTTTGCTACTTGCGAACATAGATATTTGCCTCTAACATGAAACAGAACACTGTTCAATTCCAATGAGACCAGGGGTAAGGTAAGAATGAGGACAAAGTCACAGGTACTTTAAAGTTATGCTGTGTTGTTTTGACTATTTAATTAAAAACTAATTACCAGGTCAGTCCACCATTTCTTGCTTAAAAATGTAATACCTTTGGAAGTAGATAAAAAGTATTTGAAAAGAAAATAAGCCAGATGTAAAACTGAAAAGGCCTGAACAGCATGACACCAAACAGAAACAGAATAATTTCCAATCAGTGACTACTAATGGGAACACTCATTTTATACACCAGGTATTGACAACCATTTAGCAATTCTTTAAACAGGCACTTGGTAGAGTATTTCATAGCTAGCATACTCAATACTGGGGCATCACATACACAAAAAATACGGCTTTATTACAAAGGATTCAAGATGGCAACTACTTAGAATCCAGTGCCAACAAGGATTATAACAAATCCAGTGAGTATTTTGTTTTTCAATTATTCATAGAAAATTTAATCCTGATTAAGTATCCTTGGGCAGGAATTCATGGGTAGTTGATGACTGAAACCAACATTTATGTGAAATGCTTCTGTTAATTTAATCTGTGTATACGGCTTAATTATGATTGGGGATTCAATGTAAGAAATGAATTATATCAGGATTAAAATTTTAGTACCATATCACATAGTACGTTTCCCTTCTTTCTTTTTAAACATGTAACCCTGCTTGTCCCTTCACCTAAGTGCTCAGATTTTAAAAGTCTTTGTAAGGAACAACCCATATAATGTATCTAAGCTTTATTTTTCATAAACTATTTATCAAAAACCCTTTGCTAACCAAGCCAGAACCTGAACTAGAGCCAAAGGGATAGAAGAAAATGGAGAAGAACCCCACACCAAATAAACAAAAACTTATTCATTCATTCAGCTATAAATATATTTTATATTCACATTCTTAAGTAATTTCATTTTCAATTCCTTTAAACTCCAATGTGAAATGCATTTTCCTTAAAGCATAAAGAGCAGTTTTTAATCAGTGTATTACACTGATTTTGTAATTGGAGTTTGTTTAGATATGTATAAGCAAGTAATCATTTAACTGATTACTTTTTATAAGACTATCAAACCTGAGTTAACTATTGATATAAGATGAGGCATTACAACAAAGTGGTGAATCTCTTACCAAAATATCATATAACTCTTTTTATATTAATTTCCACAGATAAATTGCATAAATCACCCTATAACAACACACTTTCTTGAAAGTTTATTAAGCATATTTCAAAACATTTCATTTGTTACCTTTTTTCAGTTTGATACTGCTTAAATGCAGTTGTATAAATAACATGCTCTGCCTTCTTTGTTCAATTTTTCATACCAAAAGTATGAAAAAAAAGTCACTGTATTTGGATCCTTATTGCACTCTTAAATCAATTGTTTTCTTTAAAGAAAATCAAGTATCAGAAGTGAGGCCGACTTTTGTGTCCAGATGATATGGTCAGTGGTAGTGTTACTGAAGAAAGTGAAGAAACTTCCCAGTATAGACTGTGGGAAAGAAAGAGTCTGTAGAGAATAACCATGGAAACAGACTGGCAAAGGATAACACCTATTGTGATAACCTGAAAATAAAAGAAAGGGATGCTTTTACGGCATGTAAACACAGAGAAATTATATATTCAGTTCATCACAAACCCCCATACTTCCCGTTTATGTACGCATACATCACCTACTCTACCCTCCATCTTTGACATAGGTACATTTTATCAAAGAAGTTTTCAATAGGAAAATGTGACTAATGTTCAGAACTGTAACTGTTCAAAGGCAAAATTTATCTTACAGTTAGTTCACAGACTCCAAAATAAAGACACATTCAATTTGCTAACGCATTCTCTCCTCAGGGTGCACACCGTAGGCAGAAAGTGGTAAGAAAAATCAGGTTCCTGGCTAATCTGGTAAGAGGAATAAAGCATGCCCCACCTGAATCCTGAAGAGTGTTCTAAGGGCATTTCAAAGATCCTCAAGTTGCTTCCTTATTTTTGTAGACTACCTTCCTATCTAATTACCCTTTGCAAATACCTCAGGCTCGAGACATTTGTGTGTTCAAGGCCACACTGCACGGCTTGGAAAAGGGACCTAGCAGAACACAATGAGTTGATGGAGCCATTTACCTAAGAAGGCAAGTATCAACACTCTAGTCTGCAGTCTGGTAAAGCAACTAGACTGAGTTCTCATGAATCTACTTTGATTCTTAACCACTGCATAGTAAAAAATTTTAATCAATTGCTCTTAACATAGATGGATTATGAATTGTCTAATTTTTAAAACAGTATTATGAAATAGGCTGAAATAATAAAAGTGATTTTCATCATTTTTAATTAACTAGAATTAAACATTTTTCTTCCATATTTTAAAGTTCCTGTTCATATGCTCACCAGTTCAATCATTTTGTTTCAAAGTATTGTTTTAAAGAACTTAGAAAACCTCTAAATAGATAAATAGGCCTTTTCTACTTTAATAATTTTCCAATAAACACTACAAAAAACTATAGTGATCATGTGTATTACTTACCTTATCTCTTTGGTAGTCACTAAAAATGACAGAGATACATGCAAGACCTGGATGGCATAAAAACCACAAGATACAGCCCTGAAACAAATGATAAATAAGCCAAATGAGTTTGGCTATATCTTTATTTCCAGAATGTGCCAGATAAAAAACATCACTAGCATATTTAGGAGGTCCTGATTGACCTCAATTGGTCTTTAGAAGTTCTATCTAATAAAATATAAAAATAAATTTGCTACTGCTATGATAATATTTCGTTTCTAATCAAATGCATATTTTAAATTTTGTATTCGGAATCTCTTATAAAGACACATTAATATACTCATTGTTAAATGACATTATATATTAAACATGAAAATACATTAATATAAGTAACAATAATTGAGAAAAAGTACAAATGTATAATATTCCTATAAAAAGAAAAACTAATAAAGATGTTCATTCACATTTGCATGTAGAGATTCACAAAGAAATTCTGTAAGAATACCCAAAACACTGACTACAAGTGGTGGCGTGTTTGTGGGTTAGTACAGAAGAGTGGAACTGAGTAAATAAGAATGAGAAACTTTAACATTATACTTTTCAAGCATTTCTTTTCTATTTTTCCAAGAACAGAAATGTATTTTCTTTTCCAAAACTAAAAATGAAGTAAAATATTAAGTTAATAAATAGTAGTTATTGAGAGGCTCAGTATAATAAAGATAAGAAAAAAAAACAAGATATAAAAAAATGTGCTGTTTGTGTAAATATGGAAGGAAATACATAGGAATATTAAAAATTCTCTGGGAGGATAAGTTGGTAGTAAATAGCAGTGATTATATGAGGAAATAATAACTGAGTAGATGGGAGAGAGATAAAAAATACTTTTGCTTCTCTTTAAATACTTTCAGACATTTGAACCCATTTAAAAATTAAATTAAGACATAAAATTTTTTTTTAAGTTCAAGAAAAAAGTTTGGTTCAGTTTTAAACACAGAAAAAAGAGGAAATTTAGTTTTAAAACATCTTAAATATATATTAACTTTCCAAACAATAAACCCTCCCATCCCTGTAAAAAATTCAAAAACAAAAAAGCATTTTCTTGCCTCTTTGGTACTCAGAAAGCTGAAGTGGGTTCCTGGGGCTGCAGGAGCAGCTTTAAGGAGCTGAACTCAGGATGAGGAACCTGGCCCTCCCTCCACAGCCACCCTGGGATGCTGAGCACTGTGCGCTTTGCCGGCTGGCAGGATGGAGGGGGGGGGGGTTACTGACTAACAGCTTATCTGAATGCTCTTCTGCATTGCCAGGATGAAGATGTATGAATTCTTTCAATCTGACAGAAAATACAACCTTCTAGGAAGGCAGGTTCCTGCAATGTTACTGCTCCAAATTCTCTTATTTTTTCCTTTATTAAATGGGTAGAGAACAAAGTCAAATTTGCTTTCAGATCTGACTCGTGTAAGGACATAGAAAAGAGGAATAAAGTAAATGTGATCTCATGCGGAGGCAGTGAAATGGCTGAAACAGCCTTCTGCTTCATCTGCTTATGCTGAAAGAAAGCTCCTCATGGTTAGAAAACACTGCATAACGGACAGTAGCAGTTCATAACTACTAAGTGTTTTTTGAGAAATGTAAACTGTATTCTAACTTAATTTTTTAAAAACTCTGATACTACAGAAAAAAATGTGAAATTCCTACTGATAAAGAAATTACGACCCAGGCAAAATTGACTTAAGATTACATGGAAACTACTATTGCACAGGTTCTGTAAAATGGAATACAAAATCTTATCTCATAGGTTGTACAGATTAGAGGAGCTGAAACACAAAAAGGGCACAGCTTAGTGCTTTGGCACATAATAACAGCTTAACCAACATCAGCACAAGGTTGCTTAACCTCCCAAAAAAAGCAGAACAAAGTTGATAATCAGAAGAAGTTATTTTCTACCCAAACCCATACTTTGGCGAACGTGATGTAAAACTCTCTTTTTAGAGTGCTTCTCTCCACTGTGATGATCTGGTACAGTCCGCAGCCTAACGACAATGCTAGGCAAATCCTTAAAATGATTAGCAAGATCCCTGCTAAGTTGTGATGTGAATGGTAGCTGTGAGGATTGGTATCTTCAAACTGCTCCCAAAGTAGCAAAATGCTCTGCAAAATACAACATCATATTGAAAGAAAAAAAAATCTTGTCTACTCATGATAAGTACTTTGTCAACTATTTTCAAACATCCCCTTAAAGAGTATATGAATATTCCTAAGAGGTTCTAAGATTTACCAGACTATAAAGATTGTTAACTAATAAAGCGCAGGCATCAAGCATAATAGACTTCTCTTCCCTAATATCCTAAACTAGAGAAAAGGGATTCTTATAAAATAATACAAAAGATAAAAAATGCAATTGCCATCATGATTCAAGTAAGACATTTTTAAGGATGAAACTAAGTTGAAAATGTTAAGAGAACAAACCCAAACTTTTTCTAAATCTTTCTTCCCTTAGCACCCTATCGTGAATCAAACTGCCCTGTATTCAAGCCCATTATCTCAGGATAACTTTGAAATATCTCACTATCTTCTGTAATCCAGAAGTGACCAAGTCAGAAGTCACTATTTTTCCATGGTAACCTCCCAGGGTAAAGGGGTGTGTGTGTGTGTGTGTGTGTGTGTGTGTGTGTGTGAGAGAGAGAGAGAGAGAGAGAGAGAGAGAGAGTGTGTGTGTGTGTGTGTAATATATATATATTTTGTTGAGAGAATGAGCAGTATGCACACACAAGCAGTGGGGATGGACAGAGCAAGAGGAAAAGAAGCCCCAGGCAGGTTCGGCACCAGGCATGAGCCCAGTGGGTGGCTCAAACCCAGGACTCCAAGATCATGACCTGAGCTGAAATCATGAGTTGGACCCCTAACTGACTGAACCATCTGGGTGCCCTAAAAGAGAGTATATTTTTGATATTCACTATGAGCATCCAGGTTATTCATGAATAACCAGCATAGGTACTCATCCTTTTCTTTATTGACTTTTTCTCCCATATTGTTACTATTACAATAAAAAGCTCAGCAATTCCTCATTAGCTGTTCTGTTTATGGCTATTGAGTAGAAATACTTTCCTTCCACCTTTTCCAAAAGTCAATCACAAATTACTACAATGTTTTTTGCCATCACACGTGTCAGTAGCCCTGTTTCCTTCATTAGCCAAGTCAGCCCTCAGAACTGTCTTCAGTGGCTTCCAAAGAATTAATGATCAAAACTCAGTTATGAAATCCAATTCTCAGGGAATCCCTGGGTGGCTCAGCGCTTTAGCGCCTGCCTTCAGCCCAGGGTGTGGTCCTGGAGACCTGGGATTGAGTCCCACATCAGGCTTCCTGCATGGAGCCTGCTTCTCCCTCTGCCTGTGTCTCTGCCTCCGTCTCTCTCCTCTGTGTACTTCATGAATAAATAAATAAAATCTTTTTTTAAAAAAAATCCAATTCTCAGGCATTATGGGGTTTGTCAGCAATCCCTTCCTCTTCTTACTCTCAAATCTTCTATCCTGGTCTTACTCCTACTACCATGATTGACAGGTGAACTCCTCTGTCATCCTGTACACATGCATTTCCTTCTTAGGCTGAATATTTGCTTTCCAACACTAAAATATTACTTCTTCACTCCCCCAAATTATTATATCCATATGACTTCTTAACCTGTAATTCTAAATTTAAGTTTTGTAATAAGTAAGTGCTATTAAAGAACTACTGTCTCCTGGTATCTATGTGGGGTGAAGGATATGTTAACTAGCCTGATTTTGGTGACCATTTCATAATGTGGACATATATCAAAACATCAAGTTGTACATCTTAAATACATACAACTTCAATTTCTTAATTATACCTCCAATAAAGCCAAAACAATCCCTATCACTTCCCATGACTCACATTTTTACATATTCAATTTCCACATTTTCAGTTATGTATATTAACATGTGGCCTGTGGGATACACGTATGTATTTATGTTGCCTCATTCACCTCGTCTGGGTGGTTGCTGAGGTCCAGGGCCACATTTCACGTCTTCTTCACAAGTGCTTACATAAACTCTAGTGTAGTGTCATCATCTCAGTTCTCAATTTATATTTGTCTATGATAATGGGTTAAAATTACAATGGAATAATGAAAATTAGATTTAAAAAAGCTATTTATTGAGAAATGAGAATTTAACCCAATATTAACACTACTTTCCAGAAGCCCTGGATCAAAAACATTAAGTTGGTAGAATCTTGCCCTTATTTTAATCACTTGTAATTCAGTTGTCATTAGCCCTTCATTCTAAAGCCTTAGGAAGCCATTATTTGCTATCTAAACATCACCACCTGTGATATGATCTAACTCAGTCATGAAATTCAACATACCCATTTCACTTAGCATCTACTATACTCAATAAATATCATGCGTATAAAGATGAATAAAGCACAGGACTTATCACTTCACTAATGAATTTTTCACTTTATTTAATGCATTAAAACTCAGATTATAATGTCCTTTGCAGAGCCTAAGTGTTTATTTCATTTTCATCTACAGCCAATGATGAATTTTTGTTTATTCCTTCCTTTATAATTTTTATAGAATCCATTGCACATGGGCATATGGAGATCCTAGAATTAAACAAACAAAAAAGGGCTAAGAAGACTAAATTTTCTAAAAGACTAAATTTGTCCTGTATTTGTTTTCAAAAACTAGATCCCATTCTTTCTCATTCTGTATTTTGCTTTATTGTTAATCTCAGATATTCACTTGAATTCCTTCATGTATATAAAGTAATAGAACTGAACCTAAAAATCCTTGCCCATGAATGAATCTCAAATTCATTGACTCAGCCATGTAAAATGTTGAGTACTTACTATATGTTAGAAAATATGATAGAAAGCTATTAAGTAGGAAATGAGAATCTATCCTAATATTAAGCATTCTTCACGTTTTTAAATAAGCTGATTCAAAGTTCAAATTCATGTAAGTAATAACTAAATTCTGCGATCTACACATATTAGCATTCAGAAGATTACAAGTTATTTGATCTATCACTCTTTAAATTCACACTTTAAATGACAAATTCCCCATGGGTGTCAAGTTTCACTTTTGAAATGAGGTCTGTTCAAGTTTGGATTTTTGCATATTGCCAAGTATAAACACTGAGTATCAATACTCACCTGTGTTATGACAATGAATACAGCAATGCCAGTGGATGCAGGAGTAGAATCCCACTGGAGAGGTCTGCTTTGAGACTTCTTCATTCTGACTATTGTCCAGCCCATGCATAGACTCAGAAGCAGGTATAACATTTGAATTTGGGAAGCAATGTCAAAAACTAATGGGAAATGAGAACAAAAGTCAACCAAGTTTCTACAATACAAAGGATTTGGTCCTTTTTGCATTGAGAATGTAATTATTTTTTAAGCACAAAAATATAGGCATTTTCAAAGAGAAGTTGATAAAATTCAATAACAAAAGATATTCTTGTAGAACTCTAAAATTAAAATTTTGCCATTAGGTTTATAAACATTTTTGAAAATAGAACAACGGCAATACTCTATATGTAACTTTATTAAGACCAACTTTAGATCTCTTTGTTTCCCATTTTTCTTGGCTTTTCTAACTACATAATACTGTTCTCTGACTGCTTATTAAATGACTGCTTATTAAAATAAACACATTTTATTTATTTTTTTTTTTTTAAATATTTTTTTTAATTTTTATTTATTTATGATAGTCACACAGAGAAAGAGAGAGGCAGAGACATAGGCAGAGGGAGAAGCAGGCTCCATGCCCCGGGAGCCTGACGTGGGATTCGATCCCGGGTCTCCAGGATCGCGCCCTGGGTCAAAGGCAGGCGCCAAACCGCTGCGCCACCCAGGGATCCCAATAAACACATTTTAAATGTAACTTCTGCAATATGGAGAATACTAGTACCTTTATTTCTGAGTTGTTAATTTTTTAGATAGCTGAACTATATCATGTGAGCTTATTTTCTAAAACTATTAATAAGAAATAGCATGACAATAAAACACAATGGCTGTTGTAACATTCAATGATGCTGGCTTTAGTGTTAGTCCCGAAGACAAACGAAATGCTTCATGTATTAGTGTGATGTGCCACCAGGTGGCCATCACTGACACTGCAGGGAAAGACTGCTCCTTTCAAAAAGGAAGCAAGGAGACCACCTGCATTCAGTCCCGCGCTTGGAGAAAACAATGCATTTTTATTTTGGAAACTAGTATTTATTGACTCAAAAAGATGATCACTTTCTCATCCTAGGGTATTTTGATGTGGATTTTGGAATAAACATGATCAGAATGCACCAAAACAAAACTTTCTTCAAATCGCCAGCCATACATACCTTAGACGTCTACAACTTTTACTTCTATATTTATATAAAGATATTCTTGCAGAAACAGGTAAAACTATCTGTACTATATTAAAAAGTTACAGGCTGAAAACCTATTAACGATACACCCTTTCAGATATATTTTGATCATTTTCTCCCTACTCTGGATATTCTACATTTATGCTCATATATTTGTTATAGCGAATTCCAATAATGAACTGTCACTATATTTGAATAGTACAAAATGTCATGGCCTTTCAGATCAAGCACAATTTTCTCTCATCACAGATTTTAAATGACTGTGATGTCAATTACTTTTATTTAACATCTCACGAATACATATTCCGTTACTGGAAGAAGTCAGGCAAAGGAATATTCCTGCATAAGTTGCTAATTAGCAAAAACAAATACCTGAGCCCTGATGTTTTGGCTCATTTTTTTGTATAGTAGGTGTGAAGCACATATTAACAGAATGTCAATATGTAAGCATTAGGTAGAACACTGCTTATCTGACACTGAAAGATAACTGTAGATAAAATAACAGGCCACATAATAATCCTATTCTGTTTGATTTTATTAAGAATCTTGACATTTTAATCATTTAATCAAATCTGTTGTCTGAACACCAACATTTAGTAACATTTATAGTAGCTTAATAAAAAGAAAAAACTTTGTTTTTTAAACCTACAGTGAAGATGCCAGCCTAAAACACTATTTTGTATACAGCAGACACAAAACTTCAAAAGTCCTTGATTTCAGTGATAGCTTCCACTCATGGGTTTTTGTGCGCTTTGCAACTTCTAAAATGCATAAGCTAAATTATTTCTCAGGTTCCATTCAGCTTTAAAATTCTATGGTTCTATTAAACATCCTGAGTCACCTAAGAGACAAGAGCAGGAGAAACCAGAGCTCCCAAAAATGTTCAAAAAACAGAAGCAACTCTTCTTCGTGTCCAAGAGATGACCAGTATGTGTCCTCTTCAGCAGGAAAACAAAGTTTCTAGAAGGTTTAGAATATTAGGCAGCAAGATGAGGAAAATGGGTTCTGTGATTACTACAAGATTACCATGAGCTACCCTATTAAAGAAAGATGAGACTATGAGAGAATTATGGAAATATTTTAAAAAGTAAATCCTAGAATGGTTGCATATTCAGAATTTGCTTTTTTACAGCAAATCTTGACTATTTTTCTGGGACTGAGAATGGCATTTTAGATTGTGGGAACTTTTAAATATTTTTCCTATCATGCTTAGTTGAAAAATTACTTCATAAAAGTTCCTTGTATAAATAAAAGAACAAAGCTGTGAGGTCAATTCAATTACAGGTATACTCTCTGACTCTGGATCAGAAATAGCAAAAGTCAAAAAAGGGATGAAAGGAGGAAAACAACCTTCAGCTTTAGGATCAGAAAACTTGAGTCTGAGTTTTGTCTCTACCCCTCAGAACTACTGACATTTGGAAATGTGCTTCAGGCCAATGAGCCCAGATTCTTTATGTGCAAGATAGGTGTAAACGTCTCTACTTCATCAAGTTTTTATTGAGATAAACAGAGAATGCATATAAACATGCTCCAAAAACAATGATGAATTACACACATGACCTATTATCAAGAAGAAACTATACAGGACAGATGGGAACTAAATCTGTAACCCTCTTTTCAGTGGGGCTGAATTCTAACCAACCCTGGATAGAAAAATTCTATCAGGACAAAAAATAATTGACAAAAAAAGAAAAACAAAACAGAGGCAAATAGCAAATTTATGTTTCAAAAAATATACCTTAGAAAGATACTCACATTCTGCCAAACTTCCCATAAAAGGTATTCCTATTCCATCTTTGGAGTAACTGAGGAATTGAAGAGAAGACTATTAGTGTAAATTACAAATGCGAAGAGATGGTTCATAATCAAAGGCAGCATAATTTGGGGGAACTAATTAGGATTAATTAGATGTAATGGTGAACACAGTTTTAGAGGTTTCAAGTTACCTGGAGAAATGAATGTAATTAGCTAAAGCTGAGCTGGCTTGCAGCAGCAGTGCAGTTGTCAGAACCTTTAGGATCACGTGCATGGGCCCTCCTTTCTTGATAGCCTGCCACAATGACTGAGCATAAATGCAAGCAAGCACAAAGTACACCAGGACTAGGAGGAAAAAGAACTCATGTAACCCTGTGAAGAGAAGAAAGGAGTTTGCTTCAGTACAACAAAGCCAGTAATAGTGTGGGGTGGCTTTTAAATCTTCCTGACAATATATTTCTAAAACTGTTTTTTTTTAAACTGGAGTCATAGCTTTCACTTATGTATGGAAAAAGAGAGAAATTATTAAAATGTAAACAATTTTTTACTTTGGGATAAAGGTTTAAATATAAGAAGGCAGATTAAACTAAAGTAGGTAAAGTCAATCTCTATAAAAGGATCCTTAGGCAATAAGCCTGAAGACTAACCATAAGAAAATCGTAAATTAAAACAAGGATGTGAGCATTCAGTCAGACATACTTTTTACCCCCAAAGTGGATTACTTTACTATGAAATTTAGGAATAGATTTTATCAACAATAGCTTAATATACCCTGACAATGGTTCTCAAAGTGCAATCTCCAGACTAGCAGCATCAACAGGGAACTTGTTAGAAATAGAAATGCACATTCTTGGGCTTCATCCCAGATCTACTATATCAGAAATTCTGGGAGAGGGGACCAGCAAGCTGTGTTTTAATAAGCCCATCAGGTGATTCTGATACAAAAACACAGCTCTGGAATATACCACTATCTTACATTTCCAGTGGAACAAAGTTTCAAAATACGTTATGACCATAGTCCCCTTCTGAAGTAAACTGTCTGCAGGTCTTGTCAAAGAGGAAATTCTATGGTGACCATGAGACTCCATCCCACAGTTGGCTAAAACTGTAATACTTGACCAAATGGCCACCAACCCAAAGACTAGCTGCTGGCCACCAGAATAATTTGGTTCTCAAGTTAAGTCAGGCTAATCAGTCTCTCAGGAAATCAAACCACAAAACATGGAAAGAATTAGGCAGTAGAAATTGAAGTTGAAAGGAGCTGACGTTGAAGTCACATCAGGCCACAGTGAAATAAATATTCTGAGTAAGCAGAAATATCAAACAAGCAAAGGGAGCTGGTTGGTAAAGACAAGAACAGAGTAAACGAGCAGACTTTATATTAAAAACGGTGCCAGTTGTTAAGCAACCTCTAGTTCCTACCAACAGCTTTCCAGTATAGTCTTCATGCATCCCAAAATATGCATCCCTTTTTCTGCATCACCTGAATCTTTTGACTGTGTCTTCATTTCTCAGAAATATCAGAAAATTTTTATCATAACCTGGAGGAATAGCTTTGAGTTTAACATCTTACTTACACTGACTTAGTTACATCTAAAACTAGTTCCAAATATTAAGATTTCATATTGTATCGAAATACCACTGGAGTATAATGATGGTGGCTGTGAACAGAGCTGTCTCTACTGAATCTGTGGATGAACAGTCTAAACTGCAATCATTTCCATCCAATCATGAAGCTGAATCTGCTCCAGTTTACCATTTGAGGTAAACTCTAATCAGTGGGCAGAGAAGGGAGTATTAATTTTGAAAAAGCAATCTAGAAGATACAAATAGTAGAAAAGCAGTCAATAAACAGTTCAATCTCAATCATATTTTTGCAATGGTTAGGGGGGAAAAAAAGGAGATAAGTAGTACTTCAGCCACTGGGTGTCTCTCCTGCTCTACATATATAAATGTTCACTTCCCTCATTCAGGTGAAAAAGCATGTTTAGATTTCAGGAAGAGAAGATCAAATAACTCAAGAGGCATAATTTCTTTTTAAACTCCTTACATAGGCAGCATTCCAGCTTTAGAAATAATGGGACAATAAGCCTGGGATTGTTATAGTAATGGAACAAGACAGAAAATACGCTAAATGTATTAACACTGTGGGTCAGTAAAATTCTTTATGCAATTTTGTCTTTTGAATCTTAGCTTTTATTTTTCCTTCTTAGTATAAAGAATTAAATATGGCATTCTTTTTGTTTTATTTACTCATAGTACTTTACAGAGTATTTCACACTCCATCTGGTTACAAATCCGCCATGAAAAGAAAATCCTCAGACTATTTACTGAGTAATCAGAATAACATAGGAGGAAGGTACTTTTGAAAAGAAGACATCTGTTAGTAGCAAAAAAATGTTTTAGGAATAATCAAGATTAAATGTACCTTCCAGAAAAGCTAACATTATAACCAACAAATTATTTCCTTCAGATAATGTATTAAATAACCTGCACTAGCTCAAGACATTTGTGTCTTGTACTTTGTTCATTTACTATTTTTACCTTGATCCTGCCCAAAAGATAGTCTAAAGATAAAATGTGGATTCTGCACTCACTGTTCTTTTAAATAAATCCCCTCTAGAAAAAAAAAAAGTCCGTTTTTTTTTCTTTTCAGTGATCAATTTTACTTTTGTCTTGTTACCATCCATCACAAGAAAACAATCTATATTTGTTCACTGTGAAATTAAATTCTAATTTTTAGATAGGTGGGTACTAAGTATTAAATTTCACCTATACACAAAAGAAGAATACTGTTAAATGAGCATGCAACAGGTGGCAAACACATATGTTATAAGGAAATGTGTAGATTTTAAGGCAAGCTTAATGGGAAAAAGCACTGGCAAAATTCAGCAGGAAGAAAACTTACAGGAAAGCTTCAAAAAACTCAGCTCCAGCTAAATGATGGGAGATGGGAGAAAAGAGGGTAAAGGAGACAGTCACTGGGTCATGGGTGCAGCACTGGAACACTCCCACCTACCCCAATGTCCATGCCACCCTCAAGTGTTTCAAGATATATCCTAATTAGTCTAAACTCATCACAGAAATTCCAACACCCCTGCCAATAAGGAGTATGCCTAACCCTTTACTCTCACAAATTCGTCTACCCTTATCTTCCTTCTGACACTTTCACTTACATTTCTCTTATGATGTTGTAGAGCAAGGGCACGTGACCCAGTTTTGACAGGGAAATCTGATGAGGAAGCTTCTAAGAAAGGTTTCCTTGCTCTCAAAAAAGAGATACTGAATTTTGTCATTATCTAGATTCAATGCCCACAAAGTGAACTGCAGTTAACTTTGAACATGAGGGAGCTAGCCTAAGGACAAAGCTGAAAAGATAGGAGGGTACAGAGATGCTAAATAAACCACCGTGAAGAAGCCTCAGAAATTCTTGTTATATAAGATAATTTCCTTATTGTCTATACTACATGCATTAAAGTTTTCTATTACTTTAAAGCAAAAGCATTCCAACATGTTACCAGAGCCAATATCTGGAATCTTAAAAACAATGAGATAGCAGATGTGACAGAGAATAATATTCTGATGAAAATCAGACTACTTTGGATGATAATACTTTAATTCTCAGGATTCTGACTACTTATTTTGGTTTCTAATAAAAGCACAACTATAGTCAATGAAGGTTCTAATTTTTTAAAAAAGATTTTATTTATTTATTCATGAGAGAGAGAGAGAGAGAGAGAGAGAGAGAGAGAGAGAGGCAGAGACTCAGGCAGAGGGAGGAGCAGGCTCCATGCAGGGAGCCTCATGTGGGATTCCATCCCAGGTCTCCAGGATCACACCCTGGGCTGAAGGCAGTGCTAAACTGCTGAGCCACCGGGCTGCCTTCTAATTTTTTTAAGAAGCAGTTTTACTTTATTCTACCTTAAAATATAATATTCCTATGTAGTATTTTGTCAAGTAGCATCATCCTTGCCTTGGTTTTTTTTTAAACCTAGACCAATCTATAAAATATGAGATTAACTGCAGTCTAATAGATACAAAATACATAATTTGTTTGAAAGAAAGCAAATTATAAAATCTAACCAGAATAACATGTAACATTAATTGCAGCTACCCACACCAGGTTATTCTAATTCAAACTCCTTAGACATATGGCTTAATAGTCAATTCTCAGTAAAAACCATAGTAAATCAATTTTCCCTACTGAGGGCAGAAAATTAGACAAATGAGCAGAAGTTTCTAAAATGAACTGGGATTATTTCTTGGAAAGAAATTCCACACCTGAGGCTACAGAAGTAGGAAGAATCCTTCTCAAGGCTCTACTGTAAAACCAATATGATACCAACCAATGTGGGACATGGACTTTTATTTTTTTTACTTTTAAAATATTTTATTTATTTATTCATGAGAGTACAGAAAGAGGCAGAGACATAGGTAGAGGGGGAAGCAGGCTCCCTGCGGGGAGCCCAATGTGGAACTTGATCTCGGCACTCCAGGATCACACCCTGGGCCAAAGGCAGACACTCAACCACGGAGGCACCCAGGGGTCCCGGGACATGGACTTTAAGATCATTGGTTCTGCACATTAGAATCAACTTGGAGCGCTGACAAAGCTCAGTTGCCTGGCTTTCACTCCAAAACCAAATCTTTCTAAGTCTCAGGGGGTAGACATTTGTATTTTTTTTTAAAGTTCTCCAGATGTACAGTGATGGGTTGAGGACCACTGATTTATTACACTTTGATGTAGAATTAATCATATTTTAAGGGTTTTAGACATTTTAATCAATAAGATGATGTGAGTCCCTAGGAATTAAGCCAGCCACATAACAACTTTGAATACTTTTAAGTACTGCTGGTACTTGTTAATAATCAATCCCCACAGATTAACCTTGCACTGAATCATGCTTAATGAAAATCTGTACTATAGTGAGGTTTTGCCCCTCATTTAAATGTTTGTTGGTGACATGACCAATGTAACTTTCTCCATTCTAGTATAAGACAGATTTCAGACATAAACATAAGCATCAAATCAAACTCAGTCTTGGAGAAGGTAGCTCAGAGTCAGGACTAGTTGAATGAGAATGGTTCATGTGAACCCTAAGAAAAAGCTAACCATTCAGGATGTTGAAAAAAACACTGGAAGATATGGACAAGGTTCAGGGTGAGCCAGGGCAAGTATGGCTGACATTCAGTGGCCCAAAGGTGGCAGAGGCCACAAATGTGACCACTCTAGGGCCTACAGTCAATGTTTAGATGTGTAATCAGGGATGAGGAAAGAGACCATAAATGAAAGCCTGGAGAAGGAAGCAAAACAATCACTATAGGATCTAGTAGAATCTCATGCATCCACAAAATAAATAAAATAACCTCTTTTTTTTTTAAAGATTTTATTTATTTATTCACGATAGACAGAGAGAGAGAGAGGAGAGAGGGAGAGAGAGAAAGAGAGAGAGAGAGAGAGAGAGAGAGAGAGAGAGGCAGAGATATAGGCAGAGGGAGAAGCAGGCTCCATGCCAGGAGCCTGACGCGGGACTCAATCCCGGGACTCCAGGATCGCACCCTGGGCAAAAGGCAGGTGCCAAACCACTGAGCCACCCAGGGATCCCCATAAAATAACCTCTTGAGCTACAGGCAAATTGCCAGGAAGGCAACAGGTGAATGAGCTTTTGGATTAGACTACACCATAGGTTGTATAGTTTGTACATAAAGTGACTGTAGCAGAGCATTCAGGGACTGCTGAGTCTTTACCAGTCCTAAAAATAACTGTCACATGAAATAATAAAGACTTATGGTTAAAAGGGACTTCACAAGCAAATTAGTCTCTATCCAATGCTATCCAATGTCTATCCAATGCTATCAGTAGACCTGGGTTTCATCTGTCTATCCAATGCTATCAGTAGACTAGGTTTCATCAATGCCTTTCGAAACTACAGAAGATAAATGTCAAAGTTTATAAAGATAAAAAAATGGGGCACCTGGGTGGCTCAGTGGGTCAAGCAATGGATTCTTGATTTCAGCTCAGGTCATGATCTCAGGGTCATGAGATCAAGCCCCGAGTCGGGCTCTGTGCTGGGGGGCTTGGAACCTGCTTGGGCTTCTCCCTATCTCCTTCCTACCCTCCTCCAATCAATCAATCAATCAATCAATCAATATAAAAGAAATGGTAGGACTGAAGTAACTTTTAGGAATGAGCCATACTGATCCAAACTACTATTAAGAAAAATTTAACCTTTAAGTTTGTTTGCATTCAAAAATAACTCGAGTAGCTTATCCCTTTTGTCATTTCCTTCACAAAAAGAACTTTATTTAAAAATGTTTGGGTTCCCATTGTGTCACCATGTAAATATTTTTTCAGACTAAAAGATATTTAAAAAAATTTCTCTCTTCATACATTAAGTTACTGGTGACCTGGTGTCCATAACACATGTTCCTTGAGTTAAATTTCTAGCTGTGGCAATATACATTTTGAACTAGGCAATTGGTTTCATCTAATGTAGTCTCAATTTCTGTTCTACCTGCACCCACTTATCTTGATGGTCAATGAGATTTAATGGGTTGAATTTCTAAGCAGATTGATTCTTCCAAATGGGTAATGAACTCATTAAGAAGTAAACTCCTAATCCTTTGTTTTGATAGACATTCTACAATCTCAGTCTTCATTCTGACATGTTAATTCAGATCTACTAAATCTACTAAAATACTGTATAGATGTTTATCATTGATCACAAGAAGTTGTTCATTTCTGTTTGGGCTAGGAATCTTGCTTCTGTAGGGCAATACGTAGTCAATCTAAAATTTTGACGAAATATTTATGGAGGTAAATTGGATTTTGGAAACATTTCAAACTTTGATCATTCCTAAAATGGTTGCAAGCTCCCACAAAGACAATCCCTAACCAGTTTACACAACTTGGTGAAAGGACAGCCATATAAAGTAGTGCAGTTTCTATCTCACTTAAAAACTGATTTTCCAATTTAGGTTGCTCTATTTATTAGCATTTTTCTGTTTATAAAGATTAATGCTAGGTTATCAAAAAAGCAAAAAGGTTTAGAATGTATAGAGAAAACTAAAAACCATCCATAATTCTACTACCCAAAACACAGAAACAATCTGTTAATATTTTTGTCCTTCTTTCTGCTTAATTCTCTGCATTTTTTAACATATTTCAAATTATAAAATATAAAGTTAAATGTTCTGCTTTTCTAACTTAATATTATAGCTATTAAAATGCGTAAGAGGATTCACTTACCATCTGCCTACTGTTGGACACTTGTTTTTAATTTTTAATATTCAAAAAAACATAACATAAAGATATTTGTGCGTAATTTTTTTTCTATATTTAGGATATACACTTATGTATATATTCTTACCAGATTCTCCAGCACCAAAATGATCAAATGGATTCCCTTCAGCATCTGGGTTTAGTAACATCATTTCAAATGAGATATCTTCCACCTGAGAATTCTCATTGTCATCTCTGCACGTATACTTGTCTGCATAAAACACATGCCACGTTTGTGGATATGGAATCTGGGATACTGTCAGATTATGTTCAGTCTGATTCATGGTCACTTTAAAGAGAAAGAAAATAGCATTTTCAAAGCAAAACTCTCAAATGTTTTCATCGTTTTAGTCATATAATCAACTCACAGAATTCTTTTGTTTTGTTCTTACTGTCTTGAAAATTGAAGCCCTGGTATAGTACTGGAATAAGGTCTGTAAATCATAAGGCAGATAAAAATAACATATCTTAACCAAAGGAGTCACTATAAAAGTATTGTGAAACACCACAAATGACATTTTGAATCTGAATTTTAAATATTTCAAAGTCTTCAAGTAGATTAGTAACATTAAAATCTTTTTATTGTGGTAAAATATACATAAACATAAAAGTTACCATTTTAACCTTTTTGAAGTATACAGTTCTATGGCATTACGTACATTTCACAATGCTGTGTAAGAACTGCAGGGATACTTTTGAAAATTAGATTTGAGTTAAAATGGAGCATTCAACTCAGGTAATCATTATTATACCTAAAAACTATGACCAACAAATACCTTCAAAAGATTTTCCAGAATCTTTTTCTCATTGATCATTCTTTAAAAAGGAACTGAAAGGAGAACATAAATGACCAGAATAAGAGCTGTTATACTGGGTCAGGTCTATATGGTGGGGGGGATGGGGAGTCTTATGAATGCTGGCATCACACGGATCTGTGTTTGAATCCTGACTCCAATACTTACTTACCTTCTGTGTAAACTTGAGCAAGTTATATAAGTAATGACACTTTCTTCATCTGTAAAATGAAGGTAATACTTAGAGCAAAGAGCTGATAGGAAAACTAAGTTATAGGAGTCACTTAGCATGACGCCTGTCACACAGTAGTTACTGAATTATGGGTTCATTCTCCTTTTCCTTTATTTAAGACAAGGTAGTTATTCTAATAAGTGTCCTCCAGGGTAATACTGCTCCCCTCTAGTGATTTGAAAATGTATAGGGACAGTTCTGTTGTCACACAGTTGAGAAGGTCCTTGGAGGGAGGCTGTACTAAGCCTCATGCAATCCAAGGTAAAGTTTCATATAATAAAGACCTGTTCTGCCCCAAATGCCAATAGCAGCCTTCTGAGAAACACTTAATGATGTCTAAGATGCCTTCCAAATTTGAAACTATGACTCTGACTTAAGAGGCACTCACTAACACCACCACAAAGTTGTAGGAGAGTAGTGTCTCAAACGCTACATATAATAAAAAGAGTAGAAGAGTTAAAGGAGGAAGTGTTGGTGCTATTACTTAACAACCTTGCAACTCACCAAATAAATTGCTTAACCTCTCAAAATGTGCTTTTTTCAGTAGTAAAATTAAGATACCTGACCTGTCTAACTCAGAGTTCTTGTGAGAAACAAATGAGACAGTATATGAAAATCCCATGTAAAGAGTATAATTCTATACAAAATATTCTTAAAATATAAGATTATGATGGTCTCAATTCCCAACTCTAGATTTCCCCCACAGCATGCCAGCTAGTCTTTCTCAATTGAAGAAAAAAATCTTTTTTAAAAAATGTTATTTATTTATTTGACAGAGAAAGAGATCGCACAAGCAGGGGGAATGGCAGAGGGAGAAGCAGGCTCCTCACTTTCTCAATTGAAGAAAAAATGCATTTTATTTTCTTAAAGATTTTATTTATTTATTTGAGAGAGGGAGCACTGAATTAGGGCTAGAGGGAGAGGGAGAAGCCAGTTCTCCAATGAATGGAGATCCTGATGTGGGACTTGATCCCAGGACCCTGGGATTATGAACTGAGCTGTAGGCAGATGCTTAACCGACTGAGCTACACTGGCTTATGAACTTACTCATTTTTTTAGGTGTCAGGATGCTATTGTTGTTATGGAGAAAAACGTCCCTACTCTTAAGAAGCAAGCTGAAATATAAGTGGGGCAAAATGCTCATGACGTCAACAGCTTATTTTCATATGCTTTGATTAAATACAAAAATCACAAACATACAAATACAAAGCAATGTAACAAAATATTAACAGTTATTGAATCTAAGCAAAGGATATATACCAATGTTAGCTGTACTATACTTTCACTTATTGAAAACTTTCCAAATAAAATGTTTAAAAAATGCTATTTTGGGAGGCACCTGGATGGGTTAGTTGTTGAGTGTCTGCCTTTGGCTCAGGTGGTGATCCTGGGGTCCTGGCATCAAGTCCTGCATCAGACTCTTAATAGGGAGCCTGTTTCTCCCTCTGCCTATGTCTCTGCCTCTCATGAATAAATAAATACAACCTTTTTAAAAAATGGTATTTATAAGTTGTCTTTAGAAATGAGATACAGGTCAGGATACAAATTTTGAGGACTTAGACTTTACACCTGGGAATTTCATGAACTATATTTAAAGTGGATAAGATGATTTTATTAACAATGCCATAGCATTGCTTATTTGGACTATCCTAATTTAGCTGACGTTTATACTGTTGTTTTTTGGTTCATTTATTTATCTTTTTACTATATAGCTTCTTGAAATTGTAGCAAAGACTCTAGTTTCCATTAAATAGTTGAAGACCTTTAATAAGAATTTAAAATACGATTAACCTTTTAGTGGCTCAGAAATTAGGCTTTTAAAATGTGCAGCTCACAATTACATAATCTGGACCTTATAAAGGTTCTGATATGTTGCTGTTTTATCACTTGCATTCTTTTCTTAGATAAAACAACACAAAAATTAACCATTATATTTTTCACCAATATACTTTTTAATGTTTTTTCAATTATACAGATTTACATCAAATAAAAACAAAAGTGTGCTTCAAAAGTGATAATGGCCTTCAGTTTTTTGTCTTGTGGCCTGTTTCAGTTTTACCAAGCCTGGGAAACAAGCCTCTTGACAAAACTGTATGTTCATTGTTTTTGAGACAAAAGACTACCACACAGCATGCATATTCCATGCTGATGTAATTAGTATCTCACATATTAACAAAACTTGAATTGCAAAGAATAATGTTACATGGTTAGCTGCCCAATCATGTTATAAAACCAAACGAATACTGTTAACAAAAATACACAATAATAAAATGCTAACACTTTTAAATGATTTATAAAATATTCCAAATGCACAAAAGGAATTACTGTGCATATTAAAAAAATACTGAAATGTTTTATTTTATTTTTTAATTTTTTTTTGTTTTATTTATTTATGATAGGCACACAGTGAGAGAGAGAGAGGCAGAGACACGGGCAGAGGGAGAAGCAGGCTCCATACACCGGGAGCCCGACGTGGGATTCGATCCCGGGTCTCCAGGATCGCGCCCCGGGCCAAAGGCAGGCGCCAAACCGCTGCGCCACCCAGGGATCCCCTGAAATGTTTTATAAGTAAAATATTAGCTCTTGTAACCTGACAGCAAATTACCCTGAATCTCCTTGTTAATTTTTTTTACATAAAGTCATAATTTTCAGTGCTTTTAAATGTCTCGTTTGCTAGCTTTAAAAACCTACAAAATAGTTTTTATCATTTTTTAAAAATCTGATATTTTATGACTTTACTAAAAGGATGATTGAAAAATAATTTCTCAAACATTAATTTGGGGCAATGTATACTAACAAGCAACATTTGACACTAAGGAATTTTTCAAATCTGCTAATCTTTTCATAGTTCACAGCAGCATCAGTTAAGGTTTTACATTGAAGTTTGGCATAGTTAATGAACTCATTACCAATAGGCAAAAAGCTATTGCTTCCTAAAAGTCTCATTAATGGCCAGGAAATGAGAAATTATCTAAAAATATGTGGTACTACTACATAGTGATGAATTTAAGGATATGCTTTTTGTTTCAATGCATCAAAGGTCCTGAACAATTACATACTATATATACGATAACTAATATGTAAAAGTTAGAAAATATAGATTTTCTTAAGACTTGGCTTTTGTTGCTGGGAAAAGAGCTGATGAAATTTGCAGAAACTTAATTTATTTCAGGTCCCAAAATTTAACAAAACAATCTTCATTCCTCACAAATTCCTATTTTCTGAGATCTTCCATTCCAATAATTCCAAAGAATACCCTTGCATTCAACAGAAGAATAGAGAAGAAGGAAAAATAGTCTGAGAAACAACTGTAAGAGGTTTATAAGTTATAGCCTTATATATAAGCAACTCCATCCTAAAGAGTTATAATTAAAATTGCAGCAGTTTGATTTTCAACCTTCTTGTGGTATGGATAGGTAAACTGAGGCTCGAAGAAAACAGGCAGTGATTCTCAGTTTAGCAGTCTTTCCATTGTACCATGCTGTCTCCCTGTACAGGTCTGTGACCGAAGGTGTATGACTGATACAAAAATGTTTTTACAAGTGCATATAATACATAGTATGATATTAACCAGGGAATATAAAAAACTAAATCAATTACTACAACTCAAAGCTTTAAACAGCCTGCTAAGTTTTTACTGGAAGAAAAAGACCAAATACAAAGCAATCAAACTACCAACCAAATACAAAAGGTGCCAAATACAAAGCAATCAACCTAGCAACCAAAAAAAACCCTCAATCTCTTCCACAAATGGTGCTGGGAAAATTGGACAGCCACATCCAAAAGAAGGAAATATATATACACAAAAATAAACTAAAATGGATTAAAAACCTAAATATGAGACCTGAAATCATAGAAATCCTTAAAGAGAACACAGGCAGTAGTTTTTCTAACATCAGTTGCATCAACATTTTTCTAGATGTCTTCTGAGGCAAGGGAAATAAAAGCAAAAATAAATTATTGGAACTACATCAAAATAAAAATCTTCTGCACAGCAAAGGAAACAAGCAACAAAACAAAAAGACAACACGGGAGAAGATACTTGCAAATGACACATCTGATAAAGGGTTAGTATCCAAAATATATAAAGAGCTTATACAACCCACCACCCAAAACCCCACAAATAAACCATTAAAAAATGGGCAGAAGACATGAACAGACATTTCTCCAAAGAAGACATACAGATGGCCAACAGACATCAAAAAAATGCTCAACATTACTCATCATCAGGAAAATGCAAATCAAAACCACAATGAGTTATCACCTCACACCTGTCAGAATGGTCAAAATAAAAAACACAAGAAATAACAACTGTTGGCAAGGATGGTGGAGAAAAAGGAACCCTTTTTCATTTTTGTTGGGAATGCAAACTGGTGCAGCCATTCTGGAAAACAGTATGGAGGTTTCTTAAAAAAAAAAAATTAAAAATAGAAATACCATATGATCCAGTAATTTCACCACTGGGTATTTATCCAAAGAATATGAAAACATTAATTTGAAAAGATACACACACCCCTATATTTACTGTTGCATTATTTACAACAGTCAAGATATGGAAGTGGCCCAACTGTCCATTAACAGATGAATGGATAAAAAAGAAATATATATATATGTGTGTATATATATATATATATATACACACATATATATATACACATATGTACACGCAATGGTATAATAGTCATAAAAAATGAAATCTTCCATTTGCAAAAATGAGTCAATAATCAGAGAAAGACAATTACCATATGATTTCATTCATATGTGGAATTTAAGAAACAACACAAACTAACAAAGAAAAAAGACCCCCCCCCCCCAAAAAAAAGACTCTTAACTATAAAGAACAAACTGATGGTTACCAGAGGGTAGATGGGTGGAAGGATAGGTGAAAATGATGAAGGGGATTAAGAGAACATTTATCATGATGAACACTGAGTAAGGTACAAAATTGTTTGATAACTATATCACACACCGGAAACTAATATAGCACCCTATTAACTATACTGGAATTAAAATTAAAAAAAAGAACAAAACACCCTTCAAGTCCTAAGTTCTATGACAATTCAACCTACAAATACTTAGTAAAAACTTAATTACTAGGGTATTGTAAAATTTCATTCTCATAGTACCATGTAACTAACATTCATAGTACTTACCACTATTCCAATTTCACATTTATTTACATTGATCAGATTCATTCCTGTCACCCTCACTAGCCTTAAGGACCAAGCAAGTGTATTTTGGTCTCTGATTTATCACAAGTGCCTTGCCTAGTACATGAAACAATGGGAGTGCTCAATGAAATGAGTAGACCAAAGGAGCCCTGCTGCTCTCATTGATTTTATAACAAGTAAATAAGATGTGAAGTGGTAACTATAATATGTGCTGTGGAAGAAAAACAAGCTATAGAAACTCAAGTGTTGGGCAGCCTGGGTGGCTCAGTGGTTCAGCGCAGCCTTCGGCTCCAGGGCGTGATCCTGGAGACCCAGGATCGGGTCCCACATAGGGCTCCCTGGGTGGAGCCTGCTTCTCCCTCTGCCTGTGTCTCTGCCTCTGTCTCTCTTTTTTTCTCTGTGTCTCTCATGAATAAATAAATAAAATCTTAAAAAAAAAAACAAAACTTAAGTGTCAATAACTAAATGGAGGGAAGAGCCAAAGAGGGAAAGAAGAACAAATAGAGGAAAAACCTATGCAAAGGTACAGGATGGCAATGAAATAAAACAAGCAAGCCTACAAGTAAAATGAGGCAGAAGGGGACAATGCTGTGAGATAACCTGGGGGGTACACGATGGCTAGACCATGATGGCTTTGCTGATCTGGTTAAGGAGACCTGTCTGTGTCCTAAGAGTCGCAGAAAATGACTGGGGTATTTCTGGGTGTGATGAGGAAGTGATTGTGTCATGATCAAATCTGCTGTTCAGAAGGATCACCCTGGTTATAGGGGGCACCAGTATGGCTGTAGTGGCTAAGTAGAGACTACTGCATCAGGCACAAGATTATGGCAGCCTGGAATAACATGGTGGGGGCGGAGATGCAGAAAAATAGATGAATTCCATAGATACTTCGAGGTCACTTACTGACAGATTGGGAGGGGATGGAGAGGGCGAAAAGGGAGTGTTGGAAGACTCCATGGGTTCCAGCTTGTTTACTGGACAGATGGTGGTTCCAGTTCCTGAAACAGGGAACACTGCAAGAAGAAGACAACCAAGTTTGGATGGGCAAGTTGATGAGTTGGTTTTTGACATTATAACAAGTGGAAATGGAAGGCTAGAACTTTTTACAGATATGTGGAACATTTAAATGACCAAATTGGTATGGAAAAGAAAAGATAACTGATAATGAGTACTTGCACAAATTTCCCAGTTAAGTTCTGAAAATCAGGGGAAAGGGAAAATTATGTCACTGTCTCTTTGATGTCTGAATCTAGTCATTCAACATTTCTTCAGCATACTGTCAACGTCATCTTATAAATCTAGATAAAAGATCCCCACATCCTGCCCCACAGGATGGCAAAGATTGAGGGAGCTTCTACTCTTTTTTTAAAAGATGTATTTGTTTATTTGAAAGAGAGAGAGAACATTAGGTGGGGGGGGGGAGGCAGAGAAAGAATCTAAAGTGGACTCCACACTGAACGCAGAGCCTAATATGGGGCTCGATCTTGCAACCCTGAGATCATGACCTGAGCTGAAATCAAGAGTTGGGTGCTCAACCAACTGAGCACCCATGCACCCCTGGGGGCTTCTCCTCTTATCCATATTCTAGCTAGCTGCCTTATGAGGGACCCAGAGAGCTGCTGAGACTAGGAAGACCAGAAGTTCAGAAAATGGCAATGTTTCACTTAACCAGATTGCAAGAAGATTCAGACTCGCTGATACGCAGAACGGTAGCAGAAATATAAGGGGGGAAGGGGGAGAAGGATAATTCCTATTTTTTCTCATGGCTGCTTCACATTTACTAATGTCTCCTACAACCAATTAACTTCCAACGGTAAAATGGGTAGCACAGTATATGCTCTTCATTTCTACAGGAATTAGAAAAGAGTTTCGCTAATTCTGGATAGGGCACCCTAATACTTGGGATAATGCTGATGAGAATGGAAGGGTTCAAGGATACAGGCAACTAGGATAACAAAAGTAGAGCTTCTCCAGAGGCAAATCTAGAAGTGTACAAATGATGCCATGTTGGTACATCCTAAAATGACATACTGTGTCACCACATGACAATGACATGTTGCCAAACAGCATCACTTCAGCTAAATCATACAATTAACTGAGATAATACATGTTTAGTGCTTAGCTCAATGCTAGGAGATAATAAGCATTCAACACAAATGCTGTTATTTATCCCATGCTGCCACTGGACCAAAATACATTTGCCATATTGATATGAATTACTTAACTTGTAAGAAGTCCGAATGAAGTAAAGTATGTCTTTATACATTATCTGGATATTTTTCAAAAATTTTTAATGATAAAGGGAGGGAAACGGCATTCTATCCTTTGATCAAGGAATACTTCAGCTTAAAATGTACTAAACAAAATGTCATCACGGTGTGATGTGTCATGAAATACCTTGGTATGAAAACAAAAACTTCAACATTTAGGAGGAAAAAAGAACATATCTACTGATCACATTAAAAATGAAATACTCACTTGTCAACTGAGCTTTGGATAATTTTTCACCACAACTATAACCATGACCGCTTTCCTGTAGCTTTAGCCATTCCTGGGCTTGGAACAGGTAAAGTTTAGCTTCTTTTCCAACAGCTACTGCTATGTTGTTGATTCTGACGCAAAGAAGAGCATGGTCACCTTGACATTAAAACAAAAATTATTAACTAGTTTTGTTTGTTACAGAACTGACATGATAAGACAATTTGACACCTCCATTTATCAGAAGAGGAATTTAAAGAGCAGTTTTTCTTGTTGTTCTTATTTTTTTAATTTTTTAATTTAAATTCAATAAACTAATATATGATGTATTATTAGTTTCAGAGGTAGAATTCAGTGATTCATCAGTCTTATATAATACCCAAGAGTACAGTTTTTCTTAAATCTCACCCAACTAGGTGGACTACATTGGAATGAATATCCTATCCAGGTGCAAATCAAGAGACTACTCATATTAATTATCCGAATTAATGTGTGGTGTCTCCTTACACTTCCAATGAAGAGTAATGCCATTTCACAGAATACACAGCAACATCTGCTGTACCTGGACATTCACTATAACAGAACTTTTGCCTCATTTCACAACCACTCCACATCTTTAATATTTGTACATAAACTCTCTATAGAAATTTCCCAGCAAAGTTTCTCTTGTTTTCTAATATAACATGCATGTTAATATTTAATTATACTTTTAATGTAAAAAAATAGGCATAGTTAATAGCAAGAAAGTTTAAAGAAATTAGTTTGGGGGTAGACATTTTACACCTGATAAAAAATTTGACATTTGTGACTTTTACAAGAAAACCTGCAGAATAGATGTTGTGAGACATTACAGAATAACCCTGGTTGCACACACTGAGTACATTTCAGGCCTTGAATGAAATGGCAAAAAGTAGCTGTCTCTAGGACTGTCGATGAGAAGTAAAGCAGGAGACTTTTTTTCATTTTAAGATCTCTTCTCCTGTGCTGTTGTCACATTTGTTATTATAATTATCGCTTTGATTAAACATTTTAAATAAATGTAAATGTATAGTGTGTATCAAAGAAATGTCCAAGTCTCCTACATACATTGTCCAAAATTTTAGAAGTGACTCGAAGGCTTAACATCTTAAATTGCATTCTGAGTTAGTTTATTATTTCAGTATAGTTTGGTATTATTATTATTTTTACTAAATTCAAATTCACTAAAAACTGGTAATAATAAAAATACATATATACACACACACATAGAAAGAGCACGTATGTGTGTTAATATACTTGGAATACTCAACTCCTCAATCTTCCTTGAGATATATGATTTTCCTGTTTCTCCCCCATGTTTACCAAGTAATCATGAAATATCCGGGTTGTCTAAGTCCCTCTGCTAGTCGTGAGTGATAACCACATCATAGCTTCTACATACGCCAGGTTTTCCAGCACTGTGCCTGTGCCATTTACTGTAGTGTCTTTCCTATCATTGACAATATACAAAGTACGGTTACAGCCAGCTGATGAAAAAAACTAAAAATGTGACCTAAAAAATAATAATAAAGTGTTTCTAAAGTTTTTTCTTCACCCAAGTTCTGTGCCACACTGAATTTTGGAAAACTAGGTTACATTCCCTTCTCTCAACTACGTTAAACATTCTGAATTAAAAAAAAAAAATTCAGGTTCCTCTGCCTTTATACCACCAATTCTGTAATTCTGCAATATATGAAATTTCCATAACAGCTTCTTGTTTCTATTATCGTCTATTATCTTATCTTATTTTCTATTACCTTGTCTTCTATTATCCTCTCTGGGGATACCAAAATAGCTTCGTGTTTCTAATATCTTATTCTTTCCCATTATTTTCTCTTCTATTAATCTCTGTGGGACAACAGTCTGGCGCTGCTGCATCTTTTAATGCTAAAAAACTGTATAATCAAGGATACCAACCTCATCAAGGCAAATAATTACATGCAATACAGTAGCAGTGAAAGAGAGTACCAACAAGAAAATCACTTAAATCTTGAGAGTGCAAATACAGCAAAAATTAGAATGAGTTGCAAATTCATTCATTTAACATTTATTGATTTTTGAGGGAGACCAGAAAGTAACCATCAAATGCAGTTCACGTTGGAGAAGGGCCAGGTCAGATGCAAATGCTGAAGCTCCCAGGACACATTTATATGCTTTTCTGCCAAGTTAATTCGAGGCCTTCTGGTCCACAGAAAACCTACTCCTTCAGTCAGCGGAGTAATCAAACTGTCCTAGCAACTGTGACCACGAGATTAGCAGGTGTTTTATTTGGTTTCCAAAACCTCTGTGCTTCACGTAGGTTTTAGCAAATTCATCTTAAAAACAAAGACTAAACCCAGTAAATCTAGGTTCTGGAGCTTAAATGCACGCCTACGTACGGAGCCTTAGTGTATATAACCGGGCTGAGACAGGAGTGAGCCAACGATGCTTCCTTGGGGGAAGGATCTGGAAAGATGCAGCAGAGAGGTCCTCCGTACTTTGGTTCGCGTCGCAGGGAGGGTGGGGGGAACGGTGTTCTGAGTGCAGAAGACAATCGCGGGGCGCCGACCCGGAACGCGGGGCCGCACTGATGCACCCCACGATGCCGGCGGCGCGGGGCGTCCGGGCGCGGTGGCGGTAGTGCCCGGCGTCGCCTCCGCCCTCGCCAGCCCCCGCTCCGGCGAGGCGGGGGTGGGGGGCGGCCCGCGGGCTGGGCCCCCGCGCCTGCACCCTGCACCCGCTCCCCGCCCCGCACCTACTACCGTGGAACTCGAAGTGGCCGATGCTCTGGCCCTGAGCGTCTCGGGCCGCGGCGCTGCTGAAGCTGCCCCGCAGGGTCTTGCCCTGGCTGCCCGGCGGCCACCAACAGCAGGTGAGGGCCACCGCCAGCAGCCGCAGGCCTCCCATCCCCCCTCCCACTGGCACCCACACCCGGGTCCCAACCGCCTGCGGCCGCCTCCTTCCACACGTCGGCACCCGGGGCCGAGGGAGGGGGGATCCGGGCCGGCGTGGCGGGCCCGCCCCCGGGAGACTGACAGCCCGCGCGGCCAGCCCCTCGGCCGCCGGCCCAGCACACCCACCAATCAGAGGCCGGGAGGGGCGGGACGTGCGGAGGCGCGCGTCCCATCGCTCCCCGGCCTGGTGGCTAGTTCCCGCCTTTTCGATGGAGACTCAGAAGGACGTCGCTTCAGGCTACGGAAAAAGCATTGCCCTCGGTCGTGTCCGTGCGTGGTGCCACTGCGCATGCGTGGGCTCGCCAGCCCCGCGCCCGAGGGCCTCCCGGGGTGGTGCGTGTGTGTGTGTGTGACGTTCGGGAAGTACTGAGAAGAAGCGCCCGGCGACATCGGTTCTGGTGAAGAATGGAAAGCCCCCCCGCAAAGCTCTGGGTGCTTGTGCAACCTACGGGACGTCTCCACGTTAATGTCTCAAAGACACCTAACGGCACGTGGCCGATTTTAAACTCCTAGGTTCCCGGTCTTCTTGAATGACACCATCAGACAGCTGGGAAGTATAGCTTAGAACCCCACATCCCAACATCTCCATGAGACACACGTCTGTTAGCGCCTCTGCTGGGCCGCTCCTGCTATCCAGGCCACCGTGGCTTCATCTTCCTTGGCCTGTGGCAAATTGACCTGCTACGTGCGAGTCTTAATTTTCTCCAGTGGGCCACACACAGCCCATCTCTACCCTAGAGCCACAGAAAGCTTTGGGAAACGCAATTTGACTGCATCACTTCCTTCAAGGGCTTTTGATCGCGGGCAGCACAGAAGCCAAACTATTTAGACTATAATATAGATACTCGCAGGAAAACACAAATATGTTCACTGATACACTGCTTATATGTGATCACGAAAAATTGGACGCAACCTGATAATATCGTCTCACTTTTTAAATACAATGGAGCTGCAAGTGCTACAGGCTCAGAGAGTATTTGGAATGGTCAGCCAACTGACAGGGGCTCGGTAAGGACGAAAACTTGAGAGACTCGAAAGCTATATATCATGGAATTTGGGGAATTTTAGGGTAGGAGCGTTTGAACTTTTCCTGTTACCACTTTTCCCCTGGAAAAGGTGGTAACAAATGACATTTCCACATATACTGGGTATTATTCTTTTTATACTTTGCCAACACATTATGTGAAAAAGGGGAAAAAAAAAAAAACCCTAACCAAGATATATTTATTCATCCATTCAACATTAACTGACCATATATTCTGTGCCAGGCCTGTTTCCATGGCCTGGGCATTACAACGGGAAACAAAAACAAGCCCCTGCCTCCCTGACCAGTACCAACGAGCAGTTCAGCATAAGTGTTGATGACATCTATGGAGAAAAAGAAGAATAAAGTGGTTCTGCAGGGCTGGGGTAGAGCTTGCTATTTTAATTGGGATGGTCAAGGAAGGACTCTCTGTAAGGGTGACCCTCAAGCTGAGAACTGAAGTAAGGGTAAAAAGTAGGCAGATATCTGGGAGTGGGCATCCAGGCCCAAGGCGGGTAGCATGCCTGGCAAATTCAAGGAGAGACAAGGAGGGCAAGCAGGCTGGGGCAGAGTGAGCACGAACAAGAATAGTAAGGGCAGGAACTAGGGAACATCTGTACCACGATTGCCAGCAGCCTGCGTTGTCGGTAACAATGTTCACAACAAAGCAAAAGGCATTTTGCAGTTGCAGCCTCCCGCTTCCACATTTTGCAACCAGACAACCCCTGGAGTTCTCAGCTCAATTCGCGAGTCAACCTGTGGAGACGGTTTTCAGTGCAAGAAGGAAAAGAAGGCAATCATTCCTAACTCCGACCATCCGCGTATCTAGGTAAAGCCTCATCTATACTGGTGTCACTTGACACAAAACGTTGCAGACCCCGCTTCCCCGCCACCCCGATTGCGCCCCGCAGGCCAGGTTTGGGCGGAGCAGAGCTGCGCCGGCGCAGTAGCCCGGCACCGCCCGTGCACTCCAGGGCCCCGCCCCCCGGCCAGTGGGCGGGGACAAGCCGGCCGGGCTCCGGAAGCGGCTGCCGCGGGCCCCACTGACGTGTCCCGGCGGCGAGACGTGTCGCGAAAAGTCGCGGTGGACCTTACCTGCGGGGTGCGGAGCTGGCGCTTTACGCCGCCGGGCACGGCTGAGCTGGGAGATGTCGGCTGCAGGCCGGGCGGAGCCCTTGGGTCCCCCCAGCAGCTTTGCGAAGCGGCTCCTGGTGACCGGGGGTGCTGGTTTCATGTAGGTAACGGCGCCGCTGGCCGACTAGTGGCTCCCCAGAGACCCCAGCCTTTTCCTGCGCCCCTGCTTGCTCTTGGAAACTTGAAACCAGCTTGGGGGGGGGGGCGGCTCTGATACGGGGAGGGTCTTAACCCACGACCGGGATCAGCCTACCTTCTTCTCCCACCCGCGCCTGCGAGGACTTGGTTGCTTTGAAACTGCGGCTTCTTTAAGATGCCTCCCACCCGAAGCCACAGTGCTGTAGTGACACCCGCCCTCTTACCTGGCCGGGGATGCACCTGACACTCTTCTGAGTGCACCCAGGTTGCAGTAAGCTTTCACCGACCGCCCCACCCTCCAGCCCGCCCCTTCCATACACAGGCCTTGAACATAGAAGCTCCAAGAAACGATTTTTGGATTATGGTAGGACATTCTTTTATTTAGCGGGTTTAAAAAAACAAAACAAAACCCTGTTAATGGTGCTTTGACCTGGACTAGGTGTGTGATGCCTCCTTCCCTCTCACACCCTCATGCAATCAGTAAGTCCTCTTTCACTGCATCCGAAGTGAATACTTCTACACCCACTCCTATCCTAGTCCACGTTACTGCCTTCTTCTGCCTAGATCACTGTTGTAGCTTCCTGTTGGTCATGCTGCTTCCCCTCTTGTTCCCTTAAAATCTGTTCTGCACACAGAAGTCAGTGTTTATTAAGTAAATAAGTGCATAGAGTTTTACCCCAGTGGTTCCTGTCAAACTTAGAATAAAACCAAGACTCTTTAGCATATCTAGAAGACTCAAGTGTCCAGGCCCTGGTTTTCCAACCTGGTCTGACATTCCACCTCTTTTTGGAGTTTCTGGAACAGATGAAGCCCATTCCCCCTGACTTGAGGCCTTTGCACTCGTTTCCCCTTTGGTTAGGCCGCTTATATCACTTAGTTCGATGGTTATTGAGATACAGCCTCCTGGGACAGGCGTTACCTGGCCATCCTAGATAAAATAGCCCCTTTCCCCACTAACATACTAATCACCACCCACAATTATATTGTGTATTAGTGTTTACTTACTTACTGCCTGCATCTCTACTCTAGAATGTAAATTGGATGGGAGCAGAGACTCTTGTTCATTAAGCATCTGTAAGAATGCCTGGCTTGTTTAACAGAGGTGTTCAGTAGTTACCAAATTGGTGAATACATTGGTACCAACAGGAAACTCGCAATGTCTAGTGAAAGACGAACATGGGAATCGCCTCCCCTCCGAGCACATTAAATCACCTTTTCAAATCCGACAATAAGGAGGGTACCAGGCAGGCAAGGTTGGTTTACCGAATGTGAAGAGGGGTGTGGGCATAAAAGGGTGTGAGAGGGATGGTCCTGAAAGGGCAAGTCCCAGAAAATGCTGTGAAAGGGCTGTCAAGTACAAACTCTGAGTTCATAATTTGGTCAGAGGCAGCCCTTGTTCCTGAGAACCCAATGTTGTGTATATGAGAAAACCTGAATGACAGATCATCTCACTGAGTCATGCCTGTGGTTCGACTTCAAGGTCCTCAGAAACCCAGGAGCCACCATGGCTCTCCAGCTCCGGATGGCCTCAGCTATTATTAGCTTTGGAAACCTAGATTTAATCTAGAACTTCCCTGAGGCTTGTAGTTTACATCACCAAATTCTTGTACCAAGAGATAGCAATTGCAGTAGGGTTACTGTGAACATAGGCAACTCCTGTGCTCAGACTAATTAATTTTTGCAGTTATACCTACAGTCTCTTAAAGGATATGTTATAATTTCAGTATGTTTGTACTGACCACCACTCATGGTATTTATCATCCTGCTTCACTCCCACACTCAAAGCACATGTGGACAAAATTATTTGGTTAAACTATTTTTTTTCTTGTACCCAGAACCAGTAAATTCTCTTTTCCCCACAGTGCAAAAGAATATCGGTGCATCAATACTGATTATTTATTATGTTGAGAAAGTTAGTAAAAGGGCAGGGGAGGGAGCATATTCAATGTAGTTATGTTATTTCTGTTATTTTGCTGAAACTTAAAGGTATCTTTGAATAGTTTCCTAATAGCATATGGTAATATTTAGGAAATGTTAAGAATTGAGGGAAAAGGTTAAATTTTCTACTAACAAAAGCACTTTTTTCCTTGAAGCGCATCACATGTGATTGTCTCTTTAGTAGAAGATTATCCAAACTATATGATCATAAATCTAGACAAGGTGAGTTTTATAAAAATGAGTTTCAAGCACTGATATTTTTTTAAAGTATTAGAATCTTATCATGCTGTTATTTCAGTGTTTTATTTAGTCATTTTAGCAACTTAGAGGCCTACATAGTCCTGTGATCATGCTGTACTTAGTCTTTTTAAAGTTTTTCATTATGATAGCCCATAAAGTAAAGGTTTTAAGTGCAATATTTTTACCAAAAGAAAATTTTCAACGCTGAGTTCAATATTTAGTGTAATCTTGTGATTATGAATCTTTTTCTGGAGTTTGGGATACTCTGATTATTTGATTTTATTATTAGATGATTTGATTTTATAACTGCCACCTCCTGGAAAATTACATATTTCTTAATTTGAAACTAATTTAGTTTTAAGGATTTTTCTGTAATAATTGAAGTCTCCCTGGAGAGTCTGAATGCCATGATTGGTAATCACTGGATTTTTTATTTTAAGCACAAGATGCAATTAGTTACCTTAATTTCATAAAATATAATAGTAAAAATCTATAGACAGAATAATCTGTAGGTCTTATCAATTCTTGCCTGCCTTACTCTCATGGACAGTAATTTTTCTCCTCACCTGTACAGAAATTTACCAACAATTAGCCCAGGAAACAGTGTAATGAGTTAAAATATGCATAACACAGGTGCAATTGTTTTTTGCATACCAATTTCTTTGCAGTAAGAAATGGTACCCTTTCTGATGGCTAGGGGCAGTCTGGGCAGAGAAATTTTTTAAAGGAAGGGTTTCTAAACGTAATTTCTTTTATTTTGAAAAGATAACAAAATTACATGGTTTTTGTTATTTACTTTTTAAGGTATCAGCGACTCCTAAAAACACAAAGAGCAAACACTTTAAGAAGACATGTTTTTGTATTACAATCAGAACATTTGTAGTCCTTAAAATAGCTTGATATTTTATAGGAAAAGCTATTATCACTTTCTGTGTTGTTTCTCTCTCTCTCTTCCTCACTTATTTTAAGCTGGATTACTGTGCAAGCCTGAAGAATCTTGAAACCATTTCTAACAAACAAAACTACAAATTTATACAGGTATGAAAATTTTCTTATAATTATGTAATTATTATACTGTGCCTCTTTAGCCATTCATTTAGACATTCTTTCTACTTTGCAAGCTTGTGTAATGTGGGGTTAGAAAACATGCTTATAAAAGAACTTTTAATTTCCAAAAGTACCACGTGCTTTAGAGAATACTGCTTTAAGACCAATACCACTATAAAGCTGCATGTGATATTTGGTGCCTTGGCAGATCTATAGGTAGCTGATTGAACTTACATGCTTCATGATTTGTAGGTCCTCCCTAGCCTTCTTACTGAGGCCTTGCTGGGATTTAAAGAGATTGGTATAAAGGGGAGTTTTACTGAGGGCAGGCAATAGCCAGAAAGCTCACCGTGCAGCCCATGGGATAATCTTCTTCAATGAAGGTGGATTGGCTCTGGAAGGCTGATTCTTACTAGGCACACTTAGAAGAGTCTAAAGTATAAACCAGAGCGCCAGATCATTACAAAGGAAAATTTTAATGTCAAATGAAATTAACTCATGATTTATGATTTTTTTTTTTTTAATTTTTTATTTATTTATTTTTTTTATTTACTTATGATAGTCACAGAGAGAGAGAGAGAGAGGCAGAGACACAGGCAGAGGGAGAAGCAGGCTCCATGCACCGGGAGCCCGATGTGGGATTCGATCCCGGGTCTCCAGGATCCCGCCCCAGGCCAAAGACAGGCGCCAAACCGCTGCGCCACCCAGGGATCCCTGATTTATGATTTTTTAAAGAAGATACTCTATGAACTGTCTTTTTCACCACAAATTGTAAAGAATATACTGAGCAAACATTTTATAATTCGGTTCTTCTATATGAAAGTGTTTCAGTCACCAAAGAATTGTTGAGAATACACATTTTTAGGAAGATGAAACATACGTATAACATCAAAAGTTCTCATAAATTCACTTAGTTGTGGTGAAACATATTTTTTTAAATGTCAGTGTAATTGTTACACTTAACTTTAAGTATATTGCAATAATGGTTACCTCAAACTTTAAAAAGTATTTTTAAAAAATTTCCTGTAAGGATCCCTGGGTGGCTCAGCGGTTTAGCACCTGCCTTTGGCCCAGGGCGCTATCCTGGAGTCCCGGGATTGAGTCCCACGTCGGGCTCCCTGCATGGAGCCTGCTCCTCCCTCCTCCTATGTCTCTGCCTCTCTCTCTCTCTTTCTCTCTATGTCTATCATAAATAAATAAATAAATAAACAAACAAACTAACTAAAAAAAAATTTCCTGTTAATATGACCTTAGGTTGGCAAGAATATTATGGGAAAAAGCTAGCACAGTTCTTAGTGCTGGTTTGGTGCTCAATAAAATACTGTTTTAAAGACATATTTGCAAAAAAAGTACTCTGAATTGAGTATCTTATATCCTAGAATAGTGGAGAAATACATCATTACTGTATTTACTTGACCCTTTGGTTCAATTTTCAAGTATTCTCTATTAAAGCAGGATGGTTTAATGGTGGGGATTAATTTTTTTTTTATAGTTGTTTTGGTTCATGTAGTAAAATGGTTATTACAAATGGGAGTGCTCAGAGAAACTTCACTTTTTCCTGTTTGCTTTTCATATAGGGTGACATATGTAATTCTCACTTTGTGAAACTGCTTTTTGAAACAGAGAAAATAGATATAGTACTACATTTTGCTGCACAAACACATGTAGGTAAGCACTGTTTTATGTTACATTTATGATGGGCAAAATTTCTTTCCATAAATCAAAGTACAGTGTTGAACTTAAAACAAGCAGGGACTTAATAGGTCTTTGAATGAATACATACCATGCTCTACCAGAAAAACAGGGTGCTTTTCCACTTTTATTAATGTAGATTGAAATATAACCTTAGGGCAGCCCTGGTGGCGCAGCGGTTTAGCGCCGCCTGCAGCCCAGGGCGTGATCCTGGAGACCCTGGATCAAGTCCCACATCAGGCTCTCTGTATGATGCCTGCTTCTCCTCTGCCTGTGTCTCTGCCTCTCTCTCTCTCTCTCTGTCTCTATGAATAAATAAATAAAATCTTTAAAAAATAAAAATTAAAAATTAAAAAATTAAAAAAAAAAAAGAAATATAACCTTAAATTCTATCTTAAAAACTTTGAGTTTAACCAAATTCAATATAGTGATTACTTCTGGGGAGATGTGCCTTCAACTTAATTTTTTTTTTTAAACTGGGTGGTGGATACACAGTTGAAAATTATAATATTAGTTTTTTGTTTTGTGCATCTGAGATATCTTCTAATTGTCTAACATTTAATATTGTGAAAAATATCATATATTAAGAAGAATTTCGAAGTAAAGCTAGATGAATAATGATAATGTGAGAGATACCTGGGTGGCCCAGCGGTTGAGCATCTGCCTTCAGCTCAGGGCGAGATCCCGGGGTCCTGGGATCAAATCCCACGTCGGGCTCCTTGCATGGAGCCCGCTTCTCCTTCTGCCTCTGCCTGTCTTTCTGTGTCTCTCATGAATAAATAAATAAAATCTTAAAAATAAAATGATAGATGTGAATACCCATATGGCCATCACCTAAACAAAATATAGAATGTTGCTGAGTCCTCATTAGTTAGTTAGTATTACTAACTTAGTATCGTTAGTTACTATTACTAATGTAACTAGTTAACATTAGTTAGTATTACTGCCTTATTACCTGAGTTAAAAATTATAATTTTCCTTAGTCTTCTCTACAGCATATTTAGGAGATTATTCTATAACAGAATATAGAGCTATTCCTCATCCCTTTTTATTGTTGTATACTCCACTGTGTAGATGTCCTACATTTGTGTTTATTTCCTGCATTTTGCTATTTAAATAGCACTGCAGTGGATGGCTTCATGCCTGTGTCCTTTTGTATGTTTGTCAATTGATGTTCGGTAGAGATTCCTAGAAGAAGGAATTCAAGATAGATCAGTTTGCTGGGGCTACGGTAACAAAATACCATGGACTAGGGGACTTAAGTAACAGAAATTTATTGCTCTTAGTTCTGGAGGCTGGAAATCCGAGTGCCAGCAGGGTTGGTTTCTTCTCAAGCTTCTCTCCTTGGCTTGCACATGGCCACTTTCTCACTGTGTCCTCACAGTTTTTCCTTGGTGCGTCCCTAGTGTTCCTTTTTGTGTCAACATTTCTTTTTTGAAGGCTACTAGTCACATTGGATTAGGGCTTACTGGAATGGCCTTATTTTTACTTAATCACCTCTTTATAGGCATATCCTATATTTGGGTTAGGGCTCCATCATGAATTTTGGGGGAACATAGTTCAGCCCAATAATCAGGGTTAAGGGGTAAAAGCATATGTAATTTGTGTAGATATTGAGAAATCTCATTCCCTAGGGGTTGAAAACACTGCATCCTTAACTCCTCATGTATAAGGTAGCTTTCCCTGTAGCCTCACCAACAGAAGAAGGTATTGTCAAATTTTTAAATTTTTGCCAATCTGATGAGTTTTCATTTTGGATTTTCCTTATTATAATTGAGGCTGGGTATCTTAAGCCTAAGGATCTTTGTATTTCTTGTCTAAACTGTTGGTTTATGTTTCCTATCCATTTACTATAGGGTTGTTCCTTTTTGTTTTTTATAACTTCTTTGTAGAATCAATATATTAGCCCTTTGTTTCTGATAAGTTCAAATAATCATCTCAGTTTGTCATTTGTCTTTTTACTTTTTTAGATTTTTTGGTTTGTTTTTTCTAAAAGCAAGAGATTTGCATAGTTCAATTTATCAATTTTTTTTTCCTTTTGCTTCTGGATTTTGAACCATATTTAGTAAAGTTCCTCTCATTCTTGGATTATAGAGAATCTATTTTTCAAAGTAAATTTATTTTAAAAATAATTTATCCAGCATTTATTATGTTTTTGGCAATAACAGATTGATCTGAACTAGAAGTTTCAAGTTTTAAATTGAAGAATGCCTATTAGGAACTAGAAGTTTCGAGTTTTAAATTTAAGAACATTTTAAATTTAGATGTATTGTTTTTTCTTTTTAGAATTAAAAAAAGTTTTTCTTGCAAATTTAGCACTGATAGTTTTCTAGGTTCTAAGAATTTGCAGGTACTTTATAATTTAGGCTTAAAGCATAAAGAGCGGTATGTTTTTGTTATTTTTTTAAAAAATTATTGTAGTTGTGGCAAATGATGAGAAGTGAATAGAGCTTTCCTTAAAGTTGAGTCTACTGTTTGGTATTTGTTTTGTCTCTTGGGTGGAAGTGTTCTAGCTTTTTCTCTTTTTTTAGATCTTTCATTTGTACGTGCCTTTGAATTTACGTATGTTAATGTCTATGGCACTCATGTTTTGGTAAGTGCTGCTCATGAAGCCAGAGTGGAGAAGTTTATTTATGTTAGCACAGATGAAGTATATGGAGGCAGTCTTGATAAGGTAAGTGTAGAAGATATATATATGTCTTGCTCACCTTTCTCTTCCACTTGAGAAACATTGGAATGTCAAGGAATGAATGTGAAATTATTGTAGAAACTGGAATCTGTTCTCCTTTTTAAATCATTTCTATATATTATACTTTTTATTCAAAAGATGTCTCTCTTCTCCTCTATATTTTTCATAGTCACTGTTTTCAATGAGTGACCTCATTGTGTTCTATGTTTTTACCTAAACGCATACATAGTGACAAAAATCAAGCAGCTTGAAAAAACTTATAATGAAAAAAAGCAGACCCTGACTACTTCTCCTCAATATCCAGCCCTACCTGTGAGAAACAGTTATTCTCAATTCTCTTTGCAATTTTTATGAGGCGAACTTTTTTCTTTTTGTACTTTTGTCACCCTACATCAGATCTGACACCACAGCCAGGATAATTTTTAAAATATAAGTCAGATAATGACATTACTCTGCTCAAAACCTGTTCATATTTTTACACTGGCCTTCAGGGTTCTACGTGTTCTGGCCTCCCTCTAGCTTTCCAGCCTCATCTTCCATTTCCCTTCCCTCACACAGACCTCCTTGCAGTTCCTTTGGACACACTTCTGTCCCAGGACCTTTGCACTTGCTGTTCTCTCTGCTTGTCTTATAGGGTTGTTATGAATGCTATTATATAAAAATGCTTAGAAAAATGCCAGGGACATGGTTGGGGTTCAGTAAATGTTTTTCAACATATAATAATATATCAAATTTGTAATATGTTTTCTGATTTTTCTGCTTAGAAACTATGCATAAAATATATTTTTAATACATCTTTTTTAAAATTAGGAATTTGATGAATCTTCACCCAAACAGCCTACGAATCCTTATGCATCATCTAAAGCAGCTGCTGAGTGTTTTGTACAGTCTTATTGGGAACGATATAAAGTAAGAACTCATTTCAGAACCTCTTGGATCATTTTTCTTTTGACTTAGATGATAAAACTCCCAAGTTAGCATTAACAACATTCCATATATATTTTCTTATTTAAGTGGTGCATAGAGTATTACAGCTGCAGGGAAACACTCAGTTGGAATATTGTGATAACCAGAACCCTCCAGGTGAAAGAAGACAGAGGGAGGGCAGGTTCTGTGACCTGCCACATGGCTTCTTTCTACATGAGAAGCCTTCTCTCTACATGGCTTCTCTCTTTCACCTCTCTTGGCTCCTTGTGAATTGAATGGGAGTTGACACTCTCTTGCCTTTTGTGTTCCATAGCATCTGCCCTTTGCCTTTTAGGGTCACTTTTTTTTTTATTTGTAAGAGTTGGTGCTTCAAAGAAAGACATCTTGAAGTTTGTTTGTTTGTTTGTTTATTTATTTTTTTAAAGATTTTATTTATTTATTCATGAGAGAGAGAGAGAGGCGCAGAGACACAGGCAGAGAGAGGAGCGGGCTCCATGCAGGGAGCCTGACGTGGGACTCGATCCTGGGTCTCCAGGATCACGCCCTGGGCCAAAGGCGGCACTAAACCACTGAGCCACCAGGGCTGCCCTTAGAGTTTAACATATAATCAAACCTAAGGTCCAGGATGTACTCTCTGAAGTCATTGGGTAGAAATTCCTTTAATTTTCTACTATCAAACCTAATTAAACTACACCCATCTATATTGATCCTGCCCTGGTCCCAGGAAAGAAAATATTCTTCTTCCTCCTTTTAGGAGCCTCTGCCTTTCTCTGAATCCTATCCTCTCCCGTATTTTCAGGAACCTTACATCAGGGGGAAAAAAAAAAACAAAAAACCTCTTTGCTTCTGTCCTTAAGGTGTGTGGAGTTATTTAGCTGCAAGTGCCCATCTTTTAGGACTGCTATGTTTAGAAAACCATTACAATTGGACCTCTTATTGCGTTAACGTTGAGTACTCTCTAAGTTTCCAGCTGTCATCACACGAAGCAGTAATGTTTACGGACCACATCAGTATCCAGAAAAGGTATATTCTACTTGTGCATCCATAGTGTATTTCAGCAAATTGTAGCTCCTCATTATTTAAGATAATCTCTCTTTAGTTATTTGTTTGGAATAATTTCTGCTGTAATTATACATAATTATAAGTGCCGTATAGGCCATGTGCAAATCTCACTAGGTTTAGAGTCTGAAGACCTGAGTTCAAGTCTCAACCTGACACCAGCTGGTGTGACCTTAGGTCCTTGGAGCACCATTTTTAAATTGGGGATAATGAAAATACTCTGAAGGGATTTTGAAGGATCCAGTGAGATGATAATGTGGACATGCCTGGTGCTTTTCAGGATTCCAAAGCACTACAGCACATTCCCATCACACTCCTGTTGTGTTGCTGAAGACTCTTCCTTTGCAGTCAAGAAAATTAAGAGCTAGTCAGAGAGTCATGCGGGAAGCTTATATAGACATTTGTCTTCCTGTCAGCTGGCTCATTGTTCCCCAGCTTCTCTTTATTGTTGCTGGCCTGAACATCTTCCAGAAAGTAGTACAAGTGGTGAATAAAGAAATATAGCTAAAAGGCTGAACCAACTGTGCAGTTGGTTCTATATCATTAAGCCTAATTTTAAGTAACCATTGCCTTCTGTGCCTAAAAATTTAGAGATAGGGTTTTTCACTTTCCAGCTGGTTGCTTTTATCTTTGCCCAAAGAAAGGCCTCATCATGATCTACCGGTCTTAATATCTACTTTGCTTAATTTGAGCACTATCTTTCAATTTAATATTATATCTCACCCTGTTTAACGTAACTTTTCTTTGAATTCAATGGCACTGGAATTTATTTTTTATTAATTTCACGAGCATGATTGATTAGATGCTGTATGCAAAGCAATAAGTAGGATATGATTCCTGCCCTTAGGAAACCCAAGGCGGACTTTTGCAAAGAGACCAAACTGTTCATGAAGACTTTTTCTGAATCTGTACACTATTTGTATCATTTTGTCTTTATATTTGTCCAGCATATACCTTGTTTTTGTGAAATAAGAAGCTATCTTAGAGTTCTTTAACTTATCAGAATTATAATAGCTTTTTTTCTTGAACTGATAAGAATTAGAATTTATATATTTCTTATTAATCATAATCTTTTAATCTTATGATGAGTTAGATTCGTATTAATGAGTGAATTCCAAGGTCTGAAATGATATTTAAATATTCTTTTAGGTTATTCCAAAATTTATATCTTTGCTACAACACAACAGGAAATGGTATGTTACTATTTACCTTTGTACCCATATGTTTTTCTGGTATGTAGATAGTATTGGTGACAGCCTGTCTTGAAAATCATGAAGTCTTAAGAGTTGAAGGCCATAGAATTGAATGTTTTCACAAATTTACAAATTCCTTCTACAATCAATATGATGGTTTTTAAAATAACTTATGTTCTGTTATTCATCTTTATATTTTACTTACTAGGATAATTTCAATTTTTTTATAATTTCAATTCTTAAATAATATATCCTAGAACTCTGATTTATAGCATTAAGATTTGACATCTGTCTATATAATTTTACTTTTCCAAAGGATTTAATATATTTAATTCACAGAGCTATGTATGTTTTTTCAAAATGAACTTGAGGTAGAAAATTGATGAATAACTTATTTCTCAGGGTTCATTTATATGTTTGCCACTTTCCTACTGAATGCTGTAGGACATGCGGAGGTTATTTAAAAATTACGGATAAAATTTAGAAAAGTCATAAGAATTTGTGTTTTCAGTTAAAGATTTCTAGGCTCTCCATGGGAATTGGCTTCTTTGGAATTGTACCCAGCCATTGTGTTACCCTGGTTTGAGAGAGCTTACTTTTTATACTTTATGATTCCGTTTCATTTAATCTTTTTAGCTGCATTCATGGATCAGGGCTTCAAACAAGAAATTTCCTTTATGCTACTGATGTAGTAGAAGCATTTCTCACTGTCCTCAAGAAGGGAAAACCAGGTGAAATTTATAACATCGGAACCAATTTTGAAATGTCAGTTCTCCAGCTTGCCAAAGAACTAATACAACTGGTATGTATATATTGTAGAAGAGTAGTGTTTTCAAAATTGTCACTAAATTACTGGCCATAATTACTTGTTTAGTCAAAATCAGCAATTTACAATTTACTCAATTGAAAGGTGAATGAGTAGAAAAATGAAAAGTACATGATGAAGATATGCCATTATTTGAAGTTAATTCAGTCCTTTCTAATAGCTTTTTAGAAAAATAAAAATCCTATAACATGAAATGTAGATACGTACAACAAATACCTCAATGTTAGAAATATAAAGCTGTGTGTCCCAGTCTTAAGGATTGATGATATGTAAGTAATTATAGTTAAGAGTGTATGTATGTATTAATGAACATCAATTCTCAGTCTCAGGATTCAGTAGAAAGGGAGACTTGGTATATGGAAATACTTTTCCTTTACACTACTACTCTCAGGATACTCTGTACTCCAAATATGTGGGTTTTCCACACCAAGAAATTCTCAGAGACAAGCTGGGTGGCCTATTATTTAACTCATTTTGACATTATCTGCCTGGAGATAGCTTCAGGTCCCATCCAGGCTTTGGGGGCACCCGGATGGCTCAGTCAGTTAAGCATTTGCCTTTGGCTCAGGTCATGATCCCAGAGTCCCAGGATTGAGCCCTGCATCAGGATTCCTGCTCAGTGGGGAGTCTGCTTCTGCCTCACCCCACTGATGCTTGTGCTTTCTTGCTCTCTATCTTTATCTCAAATAAATCTTAAAAAAAAAAAATCCCATGAATAAAGGCTCAGTCCAATAAGACTATCCTCTGCTTCAGGTGCCAACTACAAAACCTGGTTGTCACCTGTGCTTCTGATCAACTTACTATACAGCAGAGGTACTTAGCTGGAGTGACTCACAGAATTGAGAAATACAGTTTATTTTCTAGATGACTGGCTTATTGAAAAGGATAGAACTCAGGGACAGCCAGATTCTGGAGATGCATGGAGCAAGGTATGGGGAAGAGGTGTGGATTGACCGTGCACTCTGGGCACATCACCCTCCCAGCACCTCCCAGTTTTCAGCAGCTCAGATATTCTTCAAACCCCATTGTTTTGTTTTGTTTTGTTTTGTTTTGTTTTGTTTTGTTTTGTTTTGTTTTGTTTTTATAGATATTTCATTAAGTTGGTTTGATTGGTTAAATTATTGACCACTGGTTATGAATTCAGTCTCCAGCCCTCTAAGCACAGGGTTGGTTTCCTTGGCAACCAGCTCCCATCCTTAGGGACTTAACATTAACTCTGGTGTGCTTAAAAGGGGCTTGTTATAAGTAGCAAAATACACCTTTCTCTCTCATCACTTGGGAAATTCCAACAGTTTTAGGAACAGGGATAAGACCAAATTTATATTTCTTATTATAAATTATACCACATTGAATAATAACCAAGAGTCAAAATATTAATTTTCTCCCCTAGTTTATGCAATGTGTATTCTTTGTGAGCTTCAGATGGAATGTGGGTTATAAAGCATGGGAAGACTTTTTTTTTATTTAGATTTTATTATTTATTCATGAGAGAGACAGAGAGATAGAGGGGGAGAGAGGCAGAGGCACAGGCAGAGGGAGAAGCAGGCTCCATGCAGGGAGCCTGACTTGGGACTCAATCCCAAGTCTCCAGGATCAGGCCCTGGGCTGAAGGCGGCATTAAACTGCTGAGCCACCCGGGCTGCCCAAGAATGGAAAGTCTTACTAAAATGCTCTTTATTTTAGCTGTCTCCCCCGCTTTGAAGGGGTTTTTGTTTTTTCTTTTCTTTTTTAAAGATTTATTTATTTATTTTAGAGAAAGAAAGTGTGTGCACAAGTTGGGGGTAGATAGAGGGAGAAGGAGAGAGACTCTTCAAGCAGACTCCCTACTGAGTGTGGAGCCCAATATGGGGCTTGATCTCAGGACCCTGAGATTGTGACCTGAGCAGAAATCAGGAGTCATACGGTAACTGTGCTACTCAGGTGCCCTGAAGGGGTTGTTTTTCTTGTCTTTTGAATCAGCTCTTGAATACCTTTGTTATTCTTTAGTCTTATTTTATAATTGTTGATTCAAAAGCCTTTTCCATTTTGACAGATCAAAGAGACCAGTTCGGAGTCTGAAATGGAAACCTGGGTTGATTATGTTAATGATAGGTAAGTAACAACTTAAAACACTGGGGAAAGGTTGTGAAATCTTGGATCCTTACACAATTCTAAAATAAGTAGACTTAACCAGAAACTAGTATTATCGCTCTTTAGATTTCCACTAAAATATTTTTTCCTAATTATGTGTCAAAAAAATAAAGTGTGACATTACTGCTTACTAGCTGTGTGACTTAAAGAAAGTTACTCCAAGTCTGAGGTCTCCTCGAGAGTGAAATAGGGATAATACTATCTCATTTACAGAAGTATTTTAAGGTTTTATTATAACATAGATAAAGTACCTGACCCAAGGTGTGAAACATAAGAGCACTAATAAGTTTATGTGTGTTTATTCATTCATCAAACATTCATTTATGAGGCACTGCCTTCATACCCAAATTGTGGCTAAAAGCAGAAAAGGACGAGCCATGGAGAGGGTTAGGTGTCTGGGATTATAGATGATGTTTTAAAACATGTACTTTATTTTACATGTATTTTATTTTTCTATAAAAGTGTGTCATCAGGATGCATTTTTTTTTTTAAGGAAAAAAGATTCTTGGGCACACATTATTTCTCTGAGTATTTAAATTTGTAAATATATATCCACAATGTCATTTTAAATCTGTTTTATTTTCTAAGACCTACCAATGACATGAGATATCCAATGAAGTCAGAAAAAATACAGGGCTTAGGATGGAGACCCAAAGTGCCTTGGAAAGAAGGAATAAAGAAAACAAGTATGTTATGTATTGATCCTTTTGGGGAGGGGGAAATTCAGAAAAAATTTAAAGGAAACGTAATTTACTTTTATAACACTATAAATTCGGTAGAATGCCATGATAAATTATTTTCACTTTTCAAGTTGTTACATTTACTGTATTTCCAGCAACAGTAATATATTTCCTAAGCATCTTAAATTTCACACACTGACTTCTGCTCAGGCTTCCTATGTCTTACTAGGACAGAAACCTAGTTCACTGATTCTCAGGTGCAAACTTTTCACTTTTTTCACATGTTTAAGTGTTTTAAAGTCACTAGTGTCTTACTATTATTGCATCTTCCTTTCTTTCTTGGTAATACGTAAAATAATGGTCCATTTTAAGGTCAGTGTCATCATAGATTTGATGAGATATAGGCAGTTGCAGTCTTTGAGTGTTTTAAGTCTTTTTATATTGAAACAAATAAAATTTACTATGTGCAGAAATAGCCATTAAAATGAGTGTGTATAAAATCTATATATAGTTAAAGTTCAGTTTAAAAATGTATTCATGAGAAAAGATAAATTCATATGTAGAAAAGAAGTCTTCACTAAGAGCTTGACACAGTACTTATATTGAATTTGTAAAATCAAATTCAAAGATAATTTATCATTTTTTAACTAAAAAAACCTTTACTGTTAGTATAGCCATATAAACTAATTTTGCATTTTAGCAGAAGGAAGGTCACGCCATCTTATTATGCCTGCAATGCAGTATTGCTATGTTTACATGAACAGAAAAGTACATTTTTTCCTGTAACTTTAAAACCAGTGCAAATAGCTTATCTTTCTCCCTGAATTTTTAAAATCAGAATGTCTTAAACACTTATGCCAATAAATTCAGTATTGACAGACTTTCAAAGTTAAAAAGAAAACAATAATTGATTTTCAAATCTAAATTTTTAGATATTGAAACATTTTGTGATTAAAGACATTGATTAGTTAGAATCAAATTGTTTTCTTCATGAGGCATCCCTTTGTCAAGACTGATTCTTAAGAACCTGAGTAAAATTATCTGAGTAGCTGATGGGTAGGATTTTTCTTACTTAGCAGGATCTCAGTAAATGTTGGTTAACTGGTGTTTAGTGTTTTATTTTTAATTTTTGTCTTTTGTTTTTTTTTTTTTTTTTTGCTATTAGTTGACTGGTACAGAGAGAATTTTCACAACTGGAAGAATGCAGAAAAGGCATTAGAGCCCTTTCCAGTACAACCACCATTTGTATAGTGAGGACAGTTTTCAGAGAAAGAAGAAAATTATCCTACCTCGACAAGTGATATGAAATCAAGTGATGAGACCAAGTGTCCTCTTCATATGGAATTAGATTGTGACTTTTTGCATAAAATTCAAATGCGAAATGCCTCAGTCTTTAGAATAGTTTTAGTATTGCCATAGGATTTAAATATCAAGATTCTTTCAGAAACCTTTTCTACTGAAAGTCAGGAATCAGTAAGCCTAGGAAGAGGAGGGTGCCTGGAAGGAGGAATCTCACAGTTCTGAGAACCAGGGTGGGGAACAGCTCTGCACGGATGACAGCCTTCCCTGGCACTGAACTCACCTTCCCAGCCTTTCCCACTGCTCAGATAGTCTCAAGTTTTTGTTTTTAGGCAATATAGGATAAGCCATATGCTCTCATTCATCTTTTTGTAAAGATCTGATGTGCTATAATTGCTTTAAAAGGGGAACAATGTAAAAATATCTAGCACTTTTTAACTTTTGATAATTTTGTAAAATTAAGTTAAATGTTTTTTAAAAGGAGGATGTCATTTTTATATTTTCAAAATCAGTTTTTGAACTATATATAGGTAACCATGTATGAAAGAAATTTTATCATGTATTTACCATTTAAAATGATTTTATTTATAAAAGTATCAAAATTTTAATGTATTTAATGTAGAATGTGGCTTTTAGTAAGGTATGTTATTTTGCTGTAGAAAAAATTTTATATTACTTGATTAAATATTTTTAATTATCTACTAAAAAGACTTTAAGATGACTTGAAAAAGCAACTGACTGGACATAGTGCATTGAGAAAGGGAAAGGAGTCCATGATTGTACCCTACTTTCTGTCTTTGGTGCATGAGTGATGGTGACTTAACCTCTGTGGAGTAGGAAGCAAGGTCATTAACTCGGAGGTGGCTAAAGGAGGGGGATGGGCCTTGAGGAGGTGGAGATCGAGAAAAGTATAAACAGATCCAAACTTAGGAAGAGCATTTGCCAAATAGGAGTGAAACACAAACTGAAGTTGAACAGTGTAGTCTCAGAATTCTGAGATGCATAAAAATAGATTGATCCAGAGATGGGCATCATCAGTGTCAGAATGGGCAGAGGGAGCAGAGGGCTGAGAGTGAGAGTGACCGAAGCACTGCCCACTCATCCCAGTTGTATAGGGAAGAGAGTGCTTCTTGGGGGTGGCCTGTAGCTAGAGGAAATGGAGAGGGGGATGGACACAAGAGCCTGGAGGTGAGAGCTTGGAGAGGCTAGGAAGTTACAGGCAGAAAATGGGATCAACTGAGAGCAAACGGTCTTTGTGGAGTTTGCTCATTGAGGGTAGATGACAAAATAACACTTTTTCTGAGTCATTTGTTTTTGCACGTATTTTTGCATACACTTTTACTTCCAATGCCATTATATTTAATATGGCTTAGCCTTTATCATTTATCTAGTCTCAGGAGATGACCTTGACAAGCATTAGAAACATATCATGAAAAATCAGTGGAAAGAAAGGACAAGACAGCGGAAGAGTAGGGGTCCTCAACTCATCTGGTCCCACAAACTTACCTAGATAACTTTCAAAACATCCTGAGCACCTACGAATCATTTAAAGAGAGAACAGCTGGAATGCTACAGAGAGAAAAGTTTTTGCTTCTAATAAGGTAGGAAGGGGAAAAAAATAAAAAAGAATCAAGTCGGGGATGGAGCTATTCTATTTATAAATAGAATCATGGAGCCTGGCTAAGGCCAGGCAGTGAAAGCCTCCAGCGCACAAAACCCCAGCCCCAGAGAAGCAGGAACTTTAAAAACCCGCGCTGGAGTTTTCCCTGACAGAAAAGTGCTTAGCAGGGAAATTGGGCAGAATCACAGGAGGAGCAGTGGAGCCTCAAGATCCCTGGAATCACTATAGGAGGAGCGGTGCCTGCGGGAAAGCTCACTATGAACCATGGTGCGATATTGGTAAAGAGCTGGAGTGCCGCAGCCCTCTGGGGCATTTCAGAGAAGCCGGTCGGTTAGGCGGGCTGGCTGTGGAGCTGCCCTTACACTAGAGCTTGCCAACAGAGGGAGGTGGCTGTACTCCATTCCCTTTGGGAGAGGCGGTCCCCAGGAGTGCAGGTCCAATGGTGCAGAGCCTGGGATCCCAGGGCACCCTGGGATAGACAAATGGACGAAGCCAGCGATCCTCTGCTTACCCCCCACCCCGTCCCCGGGAAAGTTAGATGCAGGGAGGGCACAGAAAAGTGAGAACTCTCCTGCCACTGGGCGCCCTGCAAACTGTGCAGATCAGTGCACCTGCGCCTGCCGGCAGGAGCACATCTAAGCCAGTGTGGATTGGGAGACTGTAGTTAGTTACTTGTGGGGAGCTCGACTCCAGCACTGGAAATCTGGCCTCCATTTTTTTTTTTTTTTTTTTACCTTTGTTTCACCTTGTGCCTGGGAGAAGTGGGGTCTCTAAGGAACAAAGGCTTCACAGGATACACAGCTCATGCTGAGCCTAGCACCTGACAAGTGGACATCTCCACCCAGGCACAGACAACTGAGAATTAGCACAGCAGACCCATACCCCAGAAGAACTGCTGGAAGTACAAGGGAAAAGCAAGTTTACTGAACAAGCAGCACTGGAAAGCTCTAGGACTGAGGGAAAATAGTATATAGAACTAAAGGGTCCTTTTTTGTCCTTTTTCCATTATGACTCATTTTTATATCAGACTAAAAATGTCCAATATTTTCTTCTCTTTTCCTACCTTAACTATAATATTTTACCAACTCTTCATTTTTAAGTTTTTTCCTTTTTGACTTCCATTTTTCCACAATTATGTGTTTTAGAATATTTTTCACTTCTGGATTCCCTTCAACATATTCAATTTAATTTGGTAGGTATATGAGATATGGGTATTTCTTTTTTGTTTTTTGTTTTTTCTGCCTTTTGTTTTAAGGTGGTGGAAGTTAATACCTCCTAACACACGACCAAAATACACCAAGAACCAAGTGGAACACCATGTTGGTTCATTCTATGAGATTATATTCTCTCTTCATTCCCATTCTGCCCCCCTCTTTAATCTTGTTTATGTTTTTGTGGTGAACGTTGGGGCTTTTTATAAGTATTGATGGTTTATATAAATTTGGGATTGAGCATATTCTAAAACACAGAACAAAATACACTCAGAACCAAGAGGATGACCCTCTAGGACCCCTCAGGTAGACTACTTCTCTCTCCACTACCACTTCCTCACCACCACCATCCCCCTTTTTTTCTCTTTTATTTACTTTTTTTCCTTCTTTGTTTTTGGTTTTTGGCTTTTTACTACTTTGTTTCAAAAATTTTCACATTAGTGGTCCTTTTGTTCTGTTCTTTTTCTTTTATTTTTCTAGTCTCTGATCTCTTCAGAAATCATCGAGGGTGTATTTTACTTAGGTTGTGGTTGATATTTTTGATTCAGCCCATTCATACAGCCAGTCTGTGCTGGAAAAAATGACTAGAAGGAAGAATTCACCACAAAAGAAAGAACTGGAAACAATACTCTCTGCCACAGAGTTATAGAATTTGGATTTAAAAACAATGTCAGAAATTCACTTCAGAAGTACAATTATAAAGCTACTGGTGGCTCTGGAAAAAAGTGTAAAGGACTTTAGAGACTTCATTACTGCAGAATTGAGATCTAATCAGACCAAAATTAAAAACAGATTAAATGAGATGCAATCCAAACTGAATGCTCTAACTGGTAGGGATAATGAGGTGGAAGAAAGAGTGAGTGACATAGAAGACAAGTTGATGGTAAGGAAGGAAGCTGAGGAAAGAGAAAAACAATTAGGAGCCCACAAGGAAAGGCTTAGGGAAATAAATGATAGCTTGAGAAGGAAGAATATACATATAATTGTATTGGAATTCCAGAAGAGGCTGAGAGAGGACCACAAAGTATATTTGAACAAATCATAGCTGAGAACTTCCCAAATCTGGGGAAGGAAACAGGCATCCAGATCCAAGAGATAGAAAGGATTCTTCCCCCACACCCCCAAAAAATCAATAAAAACCATTTAATACCTCGATATTTAATAGTGAAACTTAACAAATTCCAAAGACAAAGAGAAAATTCTTAAAGCAGCAGGACACAAGAGATTCTTAACTTATATGGGGAGAAATATCAGATTAACAGCAGACTTCTCCACAGAGACCTGGCAGGCCAGAAAGGACTGGCAGGATATATTCAGGGTCCTAAATGAGAAGAACATGCAGCCAAGAATACTTTATCCAGCAAGGCTGTCATTCAGAATAGAAGGAGAGATAAAGAACTTCCAGGATAGGCAAAAACTGAAAGAATACATGACCACCAAACCGGCTTTGCAAGAAATATTAAAGGAGATGCTGTAAAAAAGGAAGAGGGAGCCTAAAGAAACAATCCACAAAAACAGGGACTGAATAGGTAATACAAAGATACTAAATTCATATCTTTCAATAGTTACTCTGAACATGAATGGGCTAAATGATTTCATCAAAAGACACAGGGTATCAGACTGGATAAAAAAAGCAAGATCCATCTGTATGCTATCTACAAGAGACTTGTTTTAGACCTAAGGACACCTCCAGCCTGAAAATGAAGAGGTGGAGAACCATTTACCATTCAAATGGTACTCAAAAGAAAGCTGGGGTAGCAATCCTCATATCAGATAAATTAGAGTTTATATCAAAGACTGTAGTAAGAGATGAAGAGAGACACTATATCATACTTAAACGGTCTACCCAACAAGAAGACCTAACAATCATGAATATTTATGCCCTTAATGTGGGAGCTGCCAAGTATATCAATCAGTTAATAACCAAAGTAAAGAGATACTTAGATAATAATATACTAATAGTAGGAGACTTCAATGCAGCACTTTCAGCAAATGACAGATCTTCCAAGCAGCATCCCCAAAGAAACAAGGGCCTTAAATGATAACACTGAACCAAATAGATTTCACAGATATATACAGAACTTTCCATCCAAATGCAGCTGAATACACATTCTTTTCAAGTGCACATGGAACCTTCTCCAAAATAGACCAAATGCTGGGTCACATATCAGGTCTCAACTGATACCAAAAGATTGGGATTGTCCCCTGCATATTTTCAGACCACAATGCTTTGAAACTAGAATTCAGTCACAAGAAGAAATTTGGAAGACACTCAAACACACGGAGGTTAAAGACCATCCTACTAAAAAATGAATGGGTGAACCAGGAAATTAGAGAAGAACTAAAAAGATTCATGGAAACTAATGAAAATGAAGATACAACCATTCAAAATATTTGGGATACAGCAAAAGCAGTCCTAAGAGGGAAATACATCACAATACAAGCCTCCCTGAAAAAAACTGGAAAAAAAATACACAAGCTAACCTCACACCTAAAGAAATTGGAGAAATAACAGCAAATAAAACCTAGACCAAGCAGAAGAAGAGGGATCATAAAGATCCTGGCAGAAATCAATGAAATAGAGACCAGAAGAACTGTAGAACAGGTCAACAAAACCAGGAGCTGGTTCTTTGAAAGAATTAATAAGAAATAAACCCCTGGACAGCCTTATTAAAAAGAAAGAGAAAAGACTCAAATTAATAAAATCACGAATGAAAGAGGAGAGATCACAACCAATACCAAGGAAATACAAACAATTTTAAAAATGTATTATGAACAGCTATATGCCAAAAAAAT